TAACTTAAGATACAGGATGTTTGCATACATTAATAAATGATGCAATGATGTTGTTGTTCATCATCCTATACGTTCAGGTACAATTTGTTGTGTTGCCAAATGCTGGTATTGAATATTGAAATCTTAAAAACGGTCGAATTGCTTTTTTAACTCTAGTGAATGCTTTATCCAATTTTACATAATGTATTTTTGTTCTTTGTTGCAACCCATTATTATATATTCAAAAATATTAAAAAAATGACCGTCACGAATCCATCCATCTATTTATCCATCCATCTATCTATCCATTCATCTATCCATCCATCCATACTTACATACATAATACATCCATCCATCCATACTTACATACATAATACATCCATCCATTCATCTATCCATCCATCTACCCATCCATCCATACATCCATCGACTCATCCATCCATCGACCCATCCATCCACACATCCATACATCCATCCATCCACTCATCCATTCAATTTTTTACTTTTTTCCAAGATATATACAGTTCAATGTAACTTCATTTAAGAGATGGTGATCATACATTCAATGTATTAAATGCAAGTGAGTTTTAACTGCTAAATAAATATTAAAACAAAAGAACACATCTTGAAAACCTCAGTACACATTTTTTAGCGAACGAAATTTGAACGGACGAAATTTGAACAAACAAATTTTGGTGAAACACAACATAAACACACGTGAAAATGTATTATTTGTCACACATCACACATTTTGTGTTTGAAATCTTTTCTATTCAAACCAGGCCAATTTATATCAGTTTTCCAAAACAGTCTGGTTCGGCATGGATTTTAGAGCTTGTTTAATTCAAACAACTTTTAAAATCATTATGACTTTTTAATGTTTTCATTGATGTTAAATTTTCATTACAATCAACCTGACGCACTCAAACAAGTTTGGCTACTTCGAAAAAATTTTGTCACAATTATTTTTTTTTATTCTTTAAAAAATCAGAAATTGACAGAATCTGTTCATCACAACATGCAAGACATTCGCTGTCAATTAGTCGTTGTTGGCTGTCAGTCGTTGGATATCACATCACACATTAGTTTGTTTTAATTTCACTAACATTTCAATAGTGTCAGCCACCATTTCAAACATATTATTAAACTGAATTATGAATGACAAAGTTGAGACAGCTAATGCAGCATGTTAGTATACGTTCGTTAAGAACGATATATTATAAAAACAGCAGGTGTCAGGCGAGCGAGGAGTATGATCAAACGGTTTACATTTAACACGAATGCACCATGTTCGTTGATGTTCGCCGTTATTAATTTTTAAGTAAATAGAATTTCACTATTAAAATATTAGCGATAAATAAACAAGAAAGATTAAACTTTGCATAGTATCAGCCATAAAATTTATTTCGAAGTCATTCAATGAAGTGCTTCAATTGTACGGCTTGCTTCGTAGTCATGTTTACAGTCGTTAAATAAAACGTTTGGGAGGGAATTGGCCAAGTGCTGTTGCGTTGTTCAGCTGCCATTGTTCTTCATTGTTAGCTTCTGTTTGCTAGGGAATTTTTCATTTAAACAAGTCTGTTTCTCTTAAATAGGCGTATACATGCAGACGTGCACAGTACACAGCTTATATGCGAGTTTATTATTATTATTTTTATTATTATCAACTCTAAATCTGAATATTTCCAAAATGTATCAACAACAAACATAGCATTCACGAATATGCGCAAAATCAGGCAACAGATAAATTTTATGTAATAGAACGAGGATCTGCCTGCATTTGAAACCAGTCACTGCAACAACCTCACTAGACGTCTTAACCACTAGACTAACTTGCCGCCTGAAGTTGTAATATTTGACATTATATGGTAGATACGGAGACATAACAAAAAGTAAACAAGAGCATAGCAAAAAACCTAACATAAATCAACAAAAGTTTATTTAAATAAAAGTAATATTAAAATGAAGTGAAATAATTTAACAGTTGTTATATTCCAGACCAAATGTAGAGAGATTAAGTGTAGTTATATGGTTGTCGGGACAATTTTAGCCGAATTTGAATAAATGTACCTCGAACAATAACGTATTGTATGCTATAAAGCAAAACTAGTATTCACTCCAGTAAAATATCGACAGACATTCCACTGAAAACTGAAATTAGTCAATTTATTTTATTTTTGTTGGAATGGATGTGCACACTAACTATTTATTCTTTTGAGCAGCTTTCAGGTACAATCTACCGATATATATGTGTGTGTGCGTTGTGTGTGAATTACTGTGTGTGTAATTTGATGTGTTTAATATTTCGTTAAAGTGATAAATATGCAATAGTAAGTAATCGTTTATTGGCAATGTATTGAACGTTGCATTGAACGGCGTTAAAATTCACATTAGAAAGAACGGCGAGAACCTGAGTCACGCACGACACTTCAAAAAAAACTCTTGCTGTTTGAGGAATGCTTGAGTCACAAGTCACAGCATTCAATGTGATCATGATATTTTTCAAACACTTTGGTATAAACTTAGCAATGAAGAAATATTCGACATGCTTTCTCCCGCTAGACGGAGAAAGCGGGAGTCTTGAGGCTTGAGTCAAAAACTTGTTAATTTATTAAAAAATTCACTCTGGATGCTTCACAATTTTAAAGATTTTTCAACTTCTACTTCAAGGTTTTTGGTTTGCCCAATGTGCAAAAAAAATTAAAAATATATTACTTTTTTAATTAATTCAAATGATCATTTATTAGATTAGATAGTTGATTCAGTTTTTTGCTTTTTACAAATTGACACAGGCTCTGAGTGCAACAATTTTTATCAGATATTAATTTTGATACATCATATATTTCCAACGCAAAAAATTCGACCGACAAGCTTAAAACTTAACCTACTTGAATGTAAGAGGTTTTTAAACAGTAGTAGATATAGTCGAAATATTAAATGAAATAATTTTTGCCAGAATTCTTTTGCTGAAAATATAGATGAAACGATAATTGGTTTAAGAATTAAACATATGTTTTATTAGGCTCACACGTGCAAACAAAGCAAATAAATCAAAGACTAATTGAAACGTTGCTTTCAATAATTGAAAGAAAGTAAAGTTGAAAGTCGCATTGTTATAAATAAAATTGTCAAATTTGTTAGTTTTAAATATCCAATCAACCAATTAGTTTGTAAAGCGATTTTCACGCGATATTCAACGGCGCTCCTCAGTGAATTTTGCAAACAGATGGGTCTTGAGATTCGCTCTGAACTTCGTAAGTGATGGAGAAGTTGTCAGAGAAAGTGTTAGAGAGTTCCAGAGGAAAGGGCCAGAATAAACAAACGCAGATTTAGCAATAGAGTGTTTAACACGAAATAAAAAAAAGCGAGAACAAGAAGACGATCGTAAACCAGGCCGTTAGGTTCGATTATTATGTCTGATAAGTACTAAAAAAATAATTTAGATTGAGACTTACACATTAATGTGCAAGTTTTAAAAATTAGTCTAAAAATAGGCAGCCAATGCATGTGAACAAGACACGGAGTTACATAAAAAAAAGAACGGGGCAAGAGCAATTTGACGAGCAGCAGAGTTTATTTAAAGGATAGAGTGTAGAATCAGGAAGACCATAGTAGAGCGAGTTACAATAATCAATCCTAGATTAAACTAAAGAAGTAAAAAAAAGGTAAAGAATTGGATCGTCATGTAAAGGCAAAAGTTTTTATATTCTACGTAGATGAAAAAAAGAAATTATTGCAACACTTTTAATCTGAGAAAAAAAAACACGCTAGAATCAAAGATAAAACCTAGACTACGAAACTCGTGAGAAACATCAAGAGTTTTAGAATCAGACAAGATAATAGGAAGAATAGTAATAGAACGCTTAGATTTATTGAAACAAATTAGTTCAAATTTTGAAGAATTAAGTTTAAGACACATAGAGTCAGACCAAGCGATAATTGAAGAAAGACATAGAGATAGATTATGAAGAACACTATTGAGATTAGATGAAGGAAAAGAAGTATAAATATAAGAATTATCAGCAAATAGTTGAATGTAAAAGAAAAATTATTAATAATACAAGGTAGTTCAGTAGTATAGAGTATAAATAGAAGAGGGCCAAGGATAGAACCTTGAGGTAACCCGAAAGTAAGAATAAAGGAGTTAGAAATAGAATTATTAAAAACAACAGAATAAAAAAGATTACAGAGATGAAAAGAAAACCAAGATAGACAAGAATTAATAGTATTGAAAGAATGATCTAGCAGCCTCAAAAGTATCAAAAGCAAACGAAAAGTCAAGAGCAAGAATAAATATCGTCATAATTTGTTTGCTATCAATGTTTTTGAGGGGTTTTCATAAAATTGATTTCTTAAAAAATAATTTCTTTTCTATTTTATAACAATTATATACTTTCATTTTATTGTTTTTGCTTTTTGCAATGCTGTTTATAGAACTCCAAATTAAATTAAATTATAATATTGGCGATCATTTAAATAATCACAACTCTTAACCGAATAACGTCAATCAAGTTTAATGAGATCTTCACAAATATTGATAGCAACTCGATTTCATGTGCTTGCAAAATACTTGAAAATAATAATATACACACACACACACACACATATATATATATATATATATATATATATATAACATGCATGTATGAATAAACGTATGTATCTATATAATGAACGAACGCATACACACATAAATCTATAATAATAAATAATCCGCCAAAATGAATAGATCAAGTTTTACAGCTGTGAGTGTCTGTAGTTGTAGTAAGTAGTTGCAAGTGTAGAGCGCAACGCAACTTAAGCATTGTTTTGCAATCTCTCATCATTCAGTCAGGCAGTTAGTTTGTCATTTGTTTTGACGATCAAGCTAGTAGCAGAACAGAAGAGGTAAATAAAGCGAAAGAACGTTCGACAAAAGAATGGCCTAACCTAATATAAACCCATGTCAACATTGCTTCTTTCTATTTAACAGCTGTCAAATAATGTATTATAGCATTTAGTTGGATTGAAATAATAAACAACTTAAAATAATATTAAAATCATAACTCTGGCGTTGAAATGATCTGTAAATCTGAATTAATTTTTAATTAACTTAATCTACGATCAAATTTCAACGGTCTTATACATTTGCGTCAAATGTTTAGCGGAATAATTTTCTTCCTTGTCGTTTTCGCTGCAGGGGGCTTACAAAATGTTGCAAGTAAAGAATTGCTTGCTTTCTAACCATTAATCAATTGAGTTGGGTGTTGAAAATGATTTAAAATTAAAGTTACATGAAAATTTGCAACCTTAACTACAACAACAATACGAAACAGTTAACATATGTTTAATCAATTAATATTGAGTTGTTTGTTGACGAATCTAAGCTTTTACTTAAATTGTTAAATTTTCAACTCTACACTGTAAATGTGTTACCAACTTTTTTTTCAAGTTTAAAAATACTGAAAACTGTTTGAATTAATTTCAGTAGCTTCTCCGGACAGAGTGCTTCTGAGCTCCACCGATGGAACGCCACTCACCACCACGCTCACCGAGGTTATCTCAATATTTCTAACACCAATCCCAAATTTGTTGTTGCCAATTCTAATCCATTTAATGCCAAATCCGACATTTTAAATATCTATCTCGTTATTTCATTTTTTAAAATTAGTGAACTTTTTTTTAGATCCTATTGCATTTGAATGCCGCATATGTTTTTACCTGCAGAATGGAGGCCACGTCCAACAACTGACCATCGACCTGACCACTAGCAACAACGAAAATTTCATTTTGGACATGCTGTTGAGTGGGTAAGAACTTATATAAGATGATAATCATTTAAATGCCATTTTCCAAGTTAAACTTCATCCTTCAAGACATTCTTTCTCGTCGTCATACAAGGAAACAGTTCATGGAGAATCAGGAATTTCATATAACAACTTCAACCGGGTAAGAGTTTTTAACTTAGTTGTTAGTTCCAAAATCCGTTTTGAAAATATTTAAAATAAATGTTTTGAACATGAAAATTTATTATTTCAAAGATTAATTATGATATTACAGTCTACCATATGCTACTACACTGGGACGGTCAGAGGTCAGAGTAAATCTCACGCTGGCGTCAGCACATGCGATCAGAAGATAAGGTTATATTTCATAGTGCCCACGTGAAGTTATTTCGCAGTGTTGTATTATTTTACATTTTAACAATAACTTTTTTCCATATTAAAGTAGCGATGTCTAAAAATATTTTTCAGTGGGTTTTTTATTGTGAACGACAAAACGTTCACAATACAACCATTTCCTAACTCAAAATTCGCGGCGTCCGTTCAGGAAGCTTCCGATCCCGTCAATGATTTCGTTTGTGGTACGTCTCTGAGATTTTATGAAAAAATATTACTTCATTATTCTATTGATTATTATTTATTTATTCAATATGCTTTTATTCAGGTTCAAAGGGGTCGAGCAACACTTTAAGACAATTGGTAATGCTGCAAATTATTTTAGATTATTAAAATTTTGTATAAAAATTTAATTAAGATGTTTTATTGAGTCATTTGCGGCTGAAATAATTTTGATAGTAGTAAAAGATTTTTAGTAGTTCAAATTAAACATTGAAAAAATCAATAACATTTTTCTTCTTTTTCTTCTGGACTATCTTTTGCTCTTTGTTGTGAATCTTTTGAAATTTTTTATTATTCAGTCGAAACGATCAACTAGCCTCTCCTCATTAGTCTCACTGAGAGACAAGCGAAACAGAATCATAGAGATATACTTATCTGGTGACTACTTTTTTGTTAGTTATTTGCCATTTTGCTCATAATTCATAATTCGCCATACCCAACTGACGTGTTAGCTCATGAACCCGATGCAGTATTGGTATTCGAATCAGGTCATCAGGCAATAACATGGCGCTTCTACCATCTGAGCTAACCCGCCTACCTGGCTAATGTTAGTTAAATAAATAACACTGGCGGCTTTAAAAGCATTAAAATTAATTGTCAATAAACACTTTTAAACTTTTTTAATGAAATGAGCAATTTTTTACTATACTAGAAGAATTTTAGTAAATTTTTCGCTAAAAAAATACAATTCTCGTATTGGTTTCGATAATTTTGTTAAATGATATATAAAAAATAATTTCAATAACAATAATAAAAATGTTAGATGAGCAAAAGTTGAAAATTTACTGAATTCCTTTGATAATTTTTGTTCGACCACACAATACGTAGCACAAGTTTGCGCCATAATAATATTGCAAATATTCTATTACATAATTTTATTTAATTTTTAAAAATTGAATAAAAAATATTTTGCCAAAGTACCTAGCCCTAGGTTCAACGTCCGCTGCTTTCGAAAGAATGAGATCCATCGTTAACGCTGCCAATGCCGTTAGTCACTTTTTTGTCAATCTTCATGGATCCGTTTATAAACAAGGACATCTTCATATTTCGATTTATATAAATTTTTTTACATGACATTATTTATGTCATCATGTATCTATTAAAAAGTATATTATATCAATAATGCTTTGTGTGAAAATGTTAATAAAATTAATCGTTAAATATTGCAAGCCTTGAAATATTAAAATTGTCATAAATAGTATCAACTTTTACATTTGCACCTTTTTTTATCATTTTGACTTTCGTTATATTATGTTATATTATATATATTAATTTATGCATGTATTTGTCTGTTTAATTTTTACGTTTGCAATTCAGTTTTTCCATAATAACATTTTTCTATACATATCCACAAAAAATAGTTTTATTTAATGTAATCTATCCATTGTAAAAAAAACTGTTCTTAAGTAAATACCCCGAAACTCGATTGTTAGTTAAATATCTCTTTAAATTGTGACTTATTTACACGTATTTTAAACGTTATTCAAATAATTTGTAACCTATTTAAAATATATCTTGAATGTTGTTCAAAAAATTTGATTCATTTCAACTTGAATGTCTGTACGGCTAACACAATTTTTTGAAGTTGTACAACAGTGTGGGTATCTACATAGTGCTTGTCGGCTCTGAAGTTTGGACCTCTCCTATATTCAGAGTGGACATCGACATATCAGTAACTCTCACAAACTTCTACAATTACAAAGATACCTACCTTAACGCAAATGTTCCTAGTCACGATACTGCCGCTCTAGTTTCGTTAGTTTTTTTCATGTAATTCAATAAGTTTTGATATTTTTATTATCTATTTTTGAAATTATGATTGACTGTTAAAACATTTTACAGAGCTAACGGTTTTAGCTCTAACATAATTGGCCTAGGTTCTTTAGGTACTATGTGCAGCTCCACTGAATCAGGGGTCGTTATCAAGGTGAATATTTTAATTTGATTTATTTTATACATAAAGTATTTATGAACAATATTGCATTATATAGGACGGCGGACAGTACAATGTAGCATTTCCAGGGGCAATACTGACCCACGAAGTTGGACACGTTTTAGGACTTGTACATGATAACACTACATGCAGCTGCAGCAGTTCCGCTTGCATAATGAAGTCTTCCATAAGGTACATTCAATCTTCTTACATTCCATTTTTAGCTATTAGAAATAAATTTTAAAGCTAGAAAGGTAAAATTTATTAGTTTAAATATTAATTCGTAATATGCTAAAAGGAGTTAGCATTTTTATTCAAAAATCGTATAAGAAATTCTACTGAGCTTTATCTTCTGAATCAACATTGCCTGAGTGAAAATTTTTACATTTGAAAAAATTCCTCAGCTCGGTGAATGTTCCAACAAAATTTTCATCGTGTTCATTGAATGACCTGGCAAACAATTGGAGTAAAGGTTATGACCTTTGTTTGTGGAACATTCCAGACATCAACGCATCTACATCCTGCGGGAATGGAGTGGTGGAAGATGGAGAGACGTGTGACTGTGGAGGGCTACCTTCCGACGTAACTAATGCATTTTAATTTTTTTTACTTGACAACACTTAATTTATGACACTTGAACAACTTTCCAGATGTGCAATCCATCGTGTTGCAACGCTGCTACCTGCCAACTTTTCTCGCCCTACCAGTGCGCTTCTGGTTTTTGTTGCGATTTGTCCACTTGCAAAGTAACGATTTCATATAATATTGATGCCAATATTTATAAATAATTTTTAATTTTGTAAAACTTCACAAAGGTGTACCAGGCCAACACAGTTTGCAGAGGAGCCAGTGACACGTGCGACCTTCAAGAATTATGTGATGGTAAGTCAGCTTACTGTCCAGAGGACACGTACAAACACGATGGCACACAATGCGCTGTTGATGGAGTTAGCGATAGTTTCAAAAATTTTATTTTCTTTTTTGATTTTATTTTTTATTTTAAAAACCTTAAAATTGTTTTAACATAGGCTTATTCAGTTCAATTTTTCAGTATTAAAGATCTGAGAAACAATGTTAGGCTTATTCGTTTGTTATTATTCAATAAAATTGTTGCTGAAAAATCCTTGTCCTTCAACTTATCTTGCAACTTGATCTTGGTCTTAGGCGCCTGGTCTCGCAAGCAAGGCGCTTTTAAACATTGCATAGTACTAATGTTAATAAATTTCAGAACTTTAAAACTTTATTTAAATCATTTTAATTTTTGGTTTTAGTCTTCCTATCGAATTTTGATTTTAAATTGAATGGCTGCAACAGGTATGTTAAAATTTTTTAATGAAGTGAAAATGTAAAGTGAATTATTGTTATAGGTGACAGCTTATTGCTCAGAAGGCAGATGCAGAACTCGAGACACCCAATGTGCATTTGTGTGGGGCCTTGGCATCAAGAGCTCTCCAGATTCCTGCTACACTACTGCTAACATGAGAGGCAGTTCTATGGGCAGTTGTCGCAAAACTTTCACCTCCACTCCAACTTACTACCCATGCGCTGCTAGGTAGAAGTAATGAAATTTTAATATATTATCAGTTGTTTAGAAAATTTTTTAAATAATACAGTGACGTTCTGTGTGGCCAGCTGTTTTGTGACGTCTCTTACGAAAATGGCAATACCCAGTTGCAAGACTTATATACTGGATATTTCACAACAGCTGGAACAACATGCAAATATGCTAGTTTTAATTTTGGAACTCAGATTTCCGACCCTGGATACGTTCCCAATGGAGTGACTTGTGGGAATAACAAGGTGCAGCATTTATCATTATCAACAGCCAAAGCAAATCAACTTATTTAATAAACTCATCTTCTAAACAAATGTTATACTACAAAAAACCTCACCACAGATGTGTTACAACAACTCGTGCAGGGCTGTTTCTGACATTCTGTCTGTCACACCGTGCTCGGACAACTGCACAAGCAACGGGGTTTGTTTTATTCAGTGTTCGTCATTCTGTTGACAATCATACTTTATTTTATCTTTTTGAAACAAGTTGAATAATTTACAATCATGAAGATTTGCAACAACAAAGGAACTTGCCAATGTCTGAATGGTTTGAAATATCCGGAATGTGCTGGGAACATAATAACTATCCCAGCACCGACCACGACCACCACTTCAACTAAAAAACCTTCGAACATTAATGATGCTCACTCCTTGCACAGACCTTCAAGCTTCATCCCGATCGTTTCCTTCCACACCAGCATCGCTCTCCCGTTGATATTTCGTTACTGCCTGTGATAGCGCGTTTGCCGCCCCTTGTTTTGTTTGTTCTTCGTAACTTTGACAGATTTTCTGAAACAAATTTGAAACAATATAATTGCTATGGCTAACAGTGAATTGCAATCTACTCGATCTGGTACATCGGATTCCAAATAAAAATTATTTTGTTATTTTTTTCATAGTGTTTTCATATTTTTATATCCGTTTGAGCTGTTGAAAGATGCAAATCCTTAATGATTACTGCTCAATGATTCTGGTGCGTGATGTAACGTTCATGTTGTTAGTATATTCGAGAAATAGTTAAAGGTTAAAAAAATAATAAAAAGTAATTAATAATTATAAATAACATAAATTGTCATTAGTTATTGACAAAACATGAATCTGGACAAATGAATGCGGAATCATGTCATTCGGGATTAAATTTATGGTCGGTTCGGTGTAGTGACGTAAGTCCAGGTAAAAATCGGACCATGCTTAACTGCATTAAGTGACGTAAACCTTAATTTTCAACGACAAGGAAAATTTTTTTGTTTAAAATTTATCTATTAGCAACACACATGCTCTGATATTTTCGAAGGTTAAGTTGGAAAGTTTAGTAAAAACTGTGCAAAAAGCAATATTAAGAAAGCATTATTTAATTAATTAAAAACAAGACATTTTTTGTTATAAAGTATTTATTTATAAAACAATTCTTATTATTAAATGACACGATGGAAATGCATTTCTGTAAGGTTTCCAGGTAGCAATATTTTCAAAACTTGGATTTTAATATTTATTTGTGTATACACATTTTATGGAAGATCAAGAATCAAGAATATGTTTTCAATTTCACAATTGAAACAAAATTTTGTTACAAGAGCTTTTTGCAATATTTTATTTTCTGTTCAAATTAATTTATTTTTATTTTAACTCAAATAAAAAAAACTTGGTATGTAGAAATATTGAAAGTTTAAAATTTTGATTTAAAGTCATTATTATATTTTGGTCTGATATCAAACACATAATCATTTTCCAAAGATGCAGATAAGCCATAGCTTCAATTTCTGTCTAGAGTTTGAAACAAATTTGCATTTTTGTTTGGAGCTTGAAAAAAATTTCCATTAGCTCTGAATGAATTTGCATTTTCACTAACACTGGCGAAACGATGTTCGATAGTTCTGATGTAGATAAACAAAGATAAGCAAAGGAGGAGGAACCAGAACACTCCAAGAATTATTCCAAACTTCACACAGCGTTTGGATTTTCTTAAATTGTCGCTGGAAAGCTCACGGTTGTTTGCGAAAGCTGACACCTGAGCCTGAACTGCAATTGTATCATCATTAATATTTAAACTTCCATTCAAAAAGTTAGTTTATATTTTCTGATAAAATGTCGACTTATAAAATGAAAAATCGTTTGTTATTGATGGTATGAAATTATAAAATGTTGTGGGCCTAACTTGCATAAATGAATGCAACTCCTCCGAACACGGGACAACAAAACATCCAGACGAGCAGTGATATGATCATAGGCCTGGTGAAGCCGACTTCAAACTTCATTCTGCTATCCTTCATGTTGGAAAAATCATTTTCCTCCAAATCCATGTTTACTAACTGGTCTTCAAAATTTTAATGGAGTTTAAATTTAAAATATTTTCAAATTCAAGTCATGGTTTAATTCGGGCAATATTTACTTTACAGGACGTAACAGATGATTTTGACGTACTGGTACAATCGTTTATTTATTTAATTTTGAATAAAAAGTTTTAGACTAAAATTAAACGTAAAACATTAATATTTTTAAATTAAAATTTAAAATATCGAAAATAAAATTTTTCACCTTCAATTTTTATGATTCCGATTGACGTTCAAACATGAGAAATTTAATCAATCCAATGTTTTGCAGGCATTATTTAATAGGTTGGCAATTCAATGCAGTCATCCGTAGCCAATTATTTTTATTACAAATTTAATTGCGTTTGAAAAAGTGAAAATAGTATTAATAATTTAACGCTTTATTATTTTTTATTCTATAATTATTATTATTGTTGTTGTTGTTGTTGTACCTGTTGCATTTACAATTGCTATTGTAACAGCTATGTGTGTTATTATTGCTACTGCTGTTGTCATCTATTTATAGAATTAATGGGCCCGAAAGAAATTTCCCCGTGCAAAAAGTAAATAAAAATATATATATATAAAAAATATAATACAAAAATTAATAAAAATAAAATGAAATGAAATAAAGGTAATGGAAGGTATGGAAGGCACCGCATCATATACTCAGCGTATATGATGCGGTGCTTGCGCGTGCACATAAATAGGATACATGTGTACGTCGTGTGAAAAGGATAAACAACCTTTGTGGCGAAGATGCCTGCTTCAAATACTAATGGTTGAAGATATGAAGAACATAATAGTATAATATATTTGATAATAAGATAATATGTATGCAGTATTGTAAGTGGTTACGCATATGTCAGAGCGACAATGCTAAAGACTAAAAAAAATAAATAGAAATACCTGGCAGAATTATAATAATGTAAATAACAAGCTAATGCACCACAAGTATTTCTTATTGTATCTTAGAAAACATTTTTGAATGGTGCAGCAATTTTTTAATTTTTAAAAAAACTAAATGAAATAATAGAAGAAATAGATGTTATCGTTAGCAAAAGACGGTATTGTCCTTTTTAATATTTTACAATAGATCTCAAATGAGATCAAAATGGTGCTGGTCAGTTTGAGGTGCCTTCGTCATTCGTAGTCATATTCATCTAGAAAATGAAAATTGAAGTTTTAAAATTACCAAGTATCATTTATTAATATATAATCTTAAATAATCGGACAAACTCATAAACAATGAAGTGAGTGAACTTTCTTACTGATGATTCGTATGCCAAGCAACACCATGCCCATGTAAATACCTAACGCAGACAATATATACGAGTACGTCAGAAGAACGTTTGACCTTTCACCGAACCCATATTTGAAATTATCCTGTGCCTTTTCTTGTGCGGCGAGAACGTTAAGATAAAATTACATTCGTCATATCAACCTAGCAAAAATTGATAGAGAAAGAAACTAACTTGCAAGATAAATTGCTGGTACGCCGATACACCAGCAGCAGCAACATGAGAGTATAGAGAGGATGAATGCAAGTTTGAAACACTCGCCTTGAAGCTCTTCGTCCGAAATCTTTATATGGACAGAGTTGCTTGAGACTTTCTGCTGCGGTTGCTGATTAGGAAAGGCAGATGTTTGTTCCATAGCTTTCAATAATCCGTTTCCTCTTTTTTCTATTATCGTTAATGAGGAAATTGAACTTGTGATGCTGTGTGTTTCAATTCAAATATAATAGGTTTCATACATTTTTAATATTTTTCATATATATTATTCTATAAATATGTTATTTTTTCATTTTATAATGCAAAAGTTGCAAGATGTTTTCATAAAATTCAAAGTTAAATTTAATGACGTGTAGGCATTAAGATCTTAAAAACAAAATCAAATATTTAAAGCAGTATCGAATTAAACTGAATTTTAAGGAATGTATACATTTTTACGACCACATCCGAAACGAGATTAATTTCCACATCACAAAGAAACAACAATTTTTTTCAAGAACAGAAGATCTGCAACAATTTATAATTAGTTGTAATAATAGTTATTTTATTATTAGCCGCTATAGTCCAAGCAGAATTCATTGTACACTTTTGTAAAAAAAAAATGAAAGAAAGAAAAATCAAATTAAATATAAATCAAGCTTTTGATTAAAGATAGCCGAGAAGCGTGCTGAACACTCTTTAAACAAGGACTCCAAAAAACAGATTGCGAGATTTAGTGTAAAAAATTCTTCAAAGCATAAAATTAATAAGATGATGAAAGCGATAATAATATTTATAACTATTGAGAGAACAATTATTAAAATGATGAATATGATTGAAGATGATAATTATTCGGAAATAAAGATAATGATGGTAAAGAGGAGGAGGAGGAAGAGGAGGATGACAATGGAAACGAAAAAAGAACTGTCGATAATAATGTGTTCGCCTAACTAGACGTAAATGGTCATCGTGGAGTAAAAAGTTAATTTATAAATTGATTTATAAAACTAAGCGGAAATGGAAAATTCGAAATACGTTGGCGTTGGCAGCTGTGAATTCCCAATAAGTTTCAATAAAACTAGCTTAATTAAAGTTAATTTAAATAGGTAGGTTATATGACCAATTTTCATTAATGACCATAGTCAATCCATGTTGGACATAGTCTTTACAATCATCTTATACTTTTTTGCTCTTCACTATGCACAAGTAGAACCTCTAATCCTAACCTCTACATATCATTGCTATATTTAAACATTCGTTTTACAAAGGCTGGACTATCCCCACCACACGGCGTGTATCTACACACACACGGACGCACAGAAAGACAGTAATCGATCTAAGCCGTTGCCTAACTGCACGATCTACCTCTATAAACTGAGCTAACTCTCCGACCAAATATTCAAGTAATAACTGATTAATTTCTTGCTGGTTATCTTGTTATAATATCTAATTTCTTTTTTAAAAAATTGGTTGTAGGAACATATATGAATATTCTTCGACATCATTTGTTTATATAGGTGAAATGTATTATAAATTGTCTTACTTACTGAAATATTTTAACCTGACTATATTGGTTGCTAAATGTAAACAGAAAACATATGTTACTTTTGTGTTGAGATGAAAGTGCAGATGTCTGATTGTTGAAAGTTGGGAAAGTTAGGTTTGGTGATAATTTATTTATAAATCAATAGTTTTATTCATTTAATTATAAAAATTTATTTAATTTATGATTCATTAGAAATAATTAATTAATTACTGAATTTATTTATTTAGCCATGAGATCATAAAAAAGTTGCCAGATGGTCCAGGGAGTTGGTATGCATGTCGCATGTGATATGAGAACAGATTTTATGTTGTATATTATTGTAATTCAGTTGTGTCGCATTGTTTCTCTGGGTCTCTGTTCTCAACACAAGTCTCCAATCATTCAACAAACTCTCTCAAAAAACATCTGCCAATTAAAATCTGCAACACGGATTAGTTGATGAAAAAGAAGTGCTGTTGTTAAGCAGGTAGTAACAAAGGTTTCAAATTCAATTTATTCAGTTTCAATTTTAAAAGTCCTTAGAAACAAATAACTTGACATAATTACATAACTTAATTATTTAGTTGATTCATTGTAAAAAGTTTTCCATCAGCTAAATTTTTAATTATTTATTTGGAATATTTTTTGAATATTTAGTTAATTTTTGTCTTCAGATTGACAATGCCATCAGATTCGAAAAATAAAAAACCAAGTGAGAATAAATACAAAAGCAGTGATAGGCAGTTGAATGTGAATGAAAGAACATGTGCAAATTTTAATGGAGATTTAAAAAAAGCAAATAAAAGTAGAAACACTGATGAAGAAAATAAAGTTGAGGAAGAAAATGATGAGGTAAATTTAAAATGCGCCAGGAGCAGGGAAAGTGATAGCGGTAGTGACAGTTCTTCTGAAGATTCACAAGATGAAACCAACGAGGATGAAGGTGATGGAAGTGATGATGAAAGAATTGATGATGAGAATGATGAAAACACGACAGCTACCAGCAAAAGATGTGGTGGAACTCTTCAGAGTCCAATTAAATGTCTCAACAAGATTTGCAACTCAGGACGTAATAATGCTAACAATAATGAAGACTACATTGTTGAAAATGGTGACCACTATACCAAAGTTTCAAACAAGGAACATAAACTCAGTAATTATGGAAATAAGAAAAATGTTCTTCACAAAAATTTTGCAAATATAAACCCTGTAAAAGTTAAAAAGTACGAAGGAAAAATTAAATCTAAAATGAACACAAAATTTCTTCAAAAACTCAAGAAACAAAAGAAAAAGCACAAAAAGAGAAAAAAGAAGTCTAAAAGACATTCAAAAAAGATTTCTCGTGAAATTGTGAAAGCCAAACTTTGTAGAACTTGTCTTAAAAGTTTGATGAAATCACTGACCAAGCACAAAAGAAAACGTTATGCTTCAACTTCATCATTATCTTCCTCATCTTCATATACTTCTTCATCATCAGAATCATCATCAGAATCAAGCTCATCGTTATCATCATCATTTCGCAAAAAGTTTACAAACAAAAAATACAAAAGCAGTCTTCATTCTAAACAAAACTTCAAGTCTGATAAAGCGTATGATAAATATTCCCAAAACACTAAGAATAATCAACTGAACAAGGGTATGGAATTGATGTACCACGCCTCTGACGAGCATGCTGCATACTCCATGCTGGACTTTACTCTACCAGTTGACACAAATACCTTTGAAGAAAATAACTCAATTCTGTCGCTATCTCACTCGCCATCCAACCACATGGATTTCACAAACACCAATTATTGTGGGAAAGAATTAGATTGCAGCGAGGTATTGAAGGATGGTGTCGTCTGTGACGTGAATGAACATGGCAGTAGCCAAAACGAACCACTTAGCAGCTGCCTACCCCGAAATATAGATCTCAATAATGATAGCCAAACGATCAGCGCTATTGAATATCTAAATAACTTTTGTGCTGCAAAAAAGGACATTGAAACTAATGACAGTATGCTAGCAAAACAAAAGTCATCTCATGAAAAAAATCATTCAAAAGGCTCTCCTACATTGGAATGTAGCGACACGTTTGTTGGCTTTCATGCTGAACCTAATGCTTTTAGCCAGCAACAAAGCTTATGCGATGATCTTTTAATGAACTCGATATATTTAGGCAGGTGCGACGCCGCTGATGATTCTGCGAAATCGGCGGACTTACTTTCTAATGTTAATGATATTCAAAACACTGAAAATAATGTAGACATCATTGAAATGAATTATCAAGTGCAAACAACAAACAAAATGGCTAATGTTGAGCAACATTTAACGAAAGGTAATGATTGCGGTAAGGATGTTAGTTCAGTTGATGTTGTTGAAAAGGACGAAGACAGTATTTCTAGAATTATCAACTCCGATTTTTCCAACAACGACAACCTAAAAGATTGGACTTACGAATATTTTGAGACCCCGAACGATCATTTCGCCAAATATATTTTTTCTCCTGAGTCAGAATTGAATGAAAACAACGTTAAAGGAAGCCCGTTACCTTCTTGTTTGGCAACAACTGGAACGAAACAAAAAGAGAACTTAGACGTAATAAAACCTGTCTCGTCTTCATCAAGTCAATCTAGTCAATCAATACAAACAACTTCTGATTCGACTCTCGGTATAAATGCATCAGCGTCTCTTCAAACAAATGTTGTTTCATCTTTACCTTCTGATGAATTAATACCAAAAAATCTTATCAAAATTTCTTTTAATCGTCCTGTTTCTAAATTTAAAGAATTGAATCCACTGACAAAAAATTTAGATGATGCGCCTGAAAATATTGGCTTGAAAAGTTCGTCAAAGCCTCCGGATAATATTTTAAATGAACAACCTAGGAAACATAATTCCAATAAACTAAATGTTTTAGAGAAACTCTCAGAAACAACATCTAAAGAACAAAACTGCAAGAAAGAGTTAACTGATAAACTAGCGACGGAACACGAAAATAATAACAAATTGTATGCTTCTGTGAAACCGATCAACATTGTTAAAACGTCGCCGGCTTCCACACTTTCTTTAGCTGAGTCAACAAAAACAAAATCGAACGCCAAGCACGCTAGTGGAAATGAAAAACCCTCAACCAGTGACTGCAAAAGCTACAATTCAAAAAAAGTTTCCAGTGAGCAGAAAAGCTCATCTGATCGGTCTCGTTCGCTAGAGAAATCTCGCAGACGTCGCTCGACATCCAGATCACGTGATAGATATCACCACCGAGTTGACAAGCGTTACAAAGATGCTTCCAAACCAAGTAATCAGTATTTAAAACGAATAAACAAAAATTACGACGATGATGATAGTAGCGATGATGACAGCAGACGAGAAAAAAAACTCAAATACAAGAAAGGAGACATCTCAAGATATTCTAAACGTAATTACGATGATAGTCGATACGACAAAGGCTATTATTCAACCTCAAGGAAGAAGGAAGAGAAATTTGAAAATAGTAAAAAATATGATAAAAGTGAACGAAGCACTTCCCCAAAAAAATCTTCAACCTCGTCCCACTGTGTTCAGATGGCTTCGTCCTCACCACCACCATCGTCCCTCAGTCGCGTTCAGTACAACCATCATGAGCATCACAAATACAAATACGATAAACAACCCATGAGGTTTGCTGGGCTTATTTTTGCATCTTGATATTATTTCTGTAATATATATTATAATAACATGTTTTATTATATAAAATTTTGCCGTTCAAGGTCAATTTGACTTTCATATTCGATGTGTTCTTAATTTTTCAGACCATATCCACACTATCGACATTACCCACCTTCAGTACGCATGCCCCCTTACCTCATGCCGCCCACTTCCTTCCCACCCTTCATGCCACCAATCTTACCGCCTCATCCTGCTGCTCCGTGGTCCTCGGTTGCAGATTACCATCAGCGACCACCACCACACCAGATGTTTTTACAACCTGGCAGTCAACCGGCTCAAATTTATTACGAGTATCAAATACAGACTGCCGTTAATGATGAGAACGATACAGCTCTTAATATTAATAGCAGTATTGGGCAAACCACGAACGACGATGGTAAAGAAAATATGAATGTCGACGAATGCAAAGAAGTAGAAAAAAAATAATTCATTGAACTTCATGAATGTTCATGAGCTGTTGTTCATCTTCTTTTTCATAATAATAGATTAATATATTGTTATCAGGGTCGAAAGAGTGTTGTGCACAACAAATGGTATGCGATGTAAAAATCTTAAATTGCTTTTACGTTTATATCCTCGGACATTTCCTTCAGTTTATTTAATTTTTTTGTTTTATATTTTCAAAAAATTGCATAAATACTACAATCTTATCAATAATATATCCACGCATAAAATTGTTGGGTCGTTTTAATAACGATTTGAGGTGTTCAATTTAATTTTAACGTGCGTGCCCTACTCATCAGCTGTTGGTGATGAAAATATAGTTGTGAATTTCAAGTTTCAAACAATTTGTTCAATTTAAATAACATTTGTAAGATTAAATCATTAAAATTTGTACGTTGTAATAATAATTAACATTTTCATATTTAAACGTTATAATAAGTCCTGAAGCACTAATTTAGCCAATAACTTCACCTCTCAATGTTTTTATGAATAGTTTTTTTGAAAGGTCGACAACGAGTTAGCATATTAGCGAAGGAAACTGTGTTCAAAAAATTACGTAATCCATAGAAAATATTCAATTGTGTTGTATTTTTTATTCGTCCACGCGTTCTGCTTACTACTCATTTTTAATCATTCATGATAGTGGCAAGAAGATAATTTCAATAAAAACGTTTAGGGCTAACTACTTCAACTTAGTTTATCAGCATTTATATTGATATTGGTTTTGAAAAATGGTTTTGGTTCAATTTGTTCTATAAGACTTGGTTTCAAATATTTTTTTATTTATTTTTAGTGCCCACTAAACGTTTTCAATAAATAAAATTTTAATTTGCCTTAGCGTGTTTTAAAAATTATTGCATTACACGTACACAAGTTTGCAGCTAAATCCTCGCATCTTCGTCTGCGATGCATTTGTTGAATTTGTTCTTCTCTACGAACATTCACTTAATTCATGGTCGTTCAGACATGAATTTTTGTCTTCCAAAATGAGTGATGATTCTAACAAAAAGAAAAAAAATTCCATTTACATTTCTGCTTTTTGAACCAACCAATTCTTATTGCGTTACTTTTACGCCAACCTCTTGGATGAATAAAATATAGACATTTTACTGACTGAGTAACCCAAACAGATGACGATCTGTTTAATAAATTTGATCAGGTCAGTAGATTAATAATTTCGAACGTTTGCATGGATGAGCTGAAGAATTATTTTACAAATTAGCTGTCGGGTACCTGAGAGGAAACATCTTCCAATTAAGAAATTAAATATTCACCAAACTTTCAAAAAAACACCCAACCGCATGTCATCTGCTTAATATCTGTTTTTTGATTACACACAAATGATTATAAGAATCGAACCTGCTAATTAGAAATGAAATGACCTAAGAATCCATTCTTGTGGCATGCTGTTGTGATTGATAAGTTAACAAATCAACATTAGACTAAACCATATGGAATTCTACACAAATATGACTAAATGGTATTGTTCAAATTTTGTTTACGAACAGTAAAATGAATAAAGACAATTCCATTTACAAAATGACTTTCATTCACAATTGAGTCGTATTATTTTTTTTAGAGCTAAAATATGTTTTATTAGAAAAAAAAACTTAAACATGCAAATAAAATTTTTATTCCACAAAAATATTGTCGGGCGGACCGTTGTTACATTACTAAGCCATTCAAAAAAAATGTACACTGAAAAAAAAAACAAGCAAGTTAATGTGGCCATAAAGCTGGTAAACGAATAAAATCAAGTGAAGATTTAAAAAAAAAACACAAGATTTTTCATATATCATAATATGATAAAACGAAATTGTTCAAGCGCAGATACATCAGTCATCAATTTTGATTAGCCAGTACAAGGCAAGTAATAAAAACATGAAAACATTCAACTACTTCTTGCAAATTCGCAAATCAAAATTAACAAATTATATTTCAACAACATAAAAACGATGTTCATCCAGTTATAAAATCGTACTAAAATGTTTAATAAAAACTAACAAATTTGAGTTTATTTCATCTGGGAAGAAACGGAATAAAATTAAGACACGTAATAAAACGTTGGGTATACAGGTTCAGACACACGATTTTTAATTTGCATAGAATTGATATATCACAGCAAGTCAAAATACAAATAAATAATAAAAATAATTTTACAATAAAAAAAAACATATAAAATAATATTTATTAAAGGATTAAAATATAATACCTCTATTACATTATTAAGCTATAAACACTAAACATTTAAAGTAAAACAAGCAGTATAAATGTAAGATTCCAATGAAATGAAGACTTATAAACTTTAATAATTTAATCGTTTTAAGATGCTAGCAACACTTGTATTCCTTGAATAGTTGACTGAAAATAAAAAAGGCCCCGATGAAACAACAGAAATATATTATAAAAACTCCTCATTATCTTGGCGGCTGCATGTTAGTCCATTAAACTGGCCAATTAGGTGAACATCGCAAAAATAGCCGTGCACACGGACGTCTGTCTTACTTACACGCATATGAACTCCTACGTACATAAACGTACACACACCACATACAAACTCTCCCTCTCTCTCTCACACACACATGCAAAAAAACAAACACACACACATATATTTTATGTTCTAGCATAAAATTTTAGTAACACGATCAAAAAGAAACGTAAAAATAGAACAATACATAAAGGCACTGTACAACATACAGTGTATATTAAAAAATTATACCTCACACGTAAATACAGACGCACATAACATGGAATCTATGCAAGAATCTACATTTCAGTCCGTAGACATGGGTACATTCCTGCAAACAAGTTGGTGCAATGAGACAGCGCTGTTCATCGGTCTTTGTTATTTGTTTATTAAAAAAGTTAGGAGATGTTTATCAAAATATCTGTTACACAGAATCAAATTAGTTTGTTCGACACAATGACGTGAAAAAATATCTGGAAATTATCCACAATAAAGGCCTTTCGAAGAGGTTAAAATGGCATTTTATTGCTTCATAAACTTGGCAAACAACTTGGAAACTGCAGAAATCTTAGTGCCGTCATTGGCGTTTGATGTGTCTGTCGTTGTTGTGGTTAATGTTTTTGCTGATGTTATGGCTGTTGTTCTGACTGACGTTGCAGATGAGGTCGTTGATGAGACCGGAGAAGTAGCGGCTTGTGTTGAGGATGTTGTTTGCGCTTCGTCACTCTGTTGAATATAGAAGACGGAAGCTGATGAAGACTGCACCGATGAGGAGGAGTTTGATGATTTCATTGACGATGAAATCTTCGGGGACTGCATCAAAAAAGTTAATAACACAAAATGAAAAAAAATGCAAGTGCACAATGTACATACATGAACGTTGGAATTTTAAAAAGTATATGTGCTTCAATATTTGCGCTTAATAACATAAATATCTAAAAACTATGCCAATGACACACTTTAAAATAAATTAATTTCGGAAAAGTAACTAACTATTTTTGACTGAACAACCAGTAAACAATACATAAATAATAAATTGAAAACCTTTTTGAAGCTTTGTTTGAATGGCTTGCTGCCGGGAGAAGTGGGTCCTAGCAAGGTTTCTTCTGGAGTTGAACACAGGGAAAGGTCTGACAGCGATCGAGACTTTCGATTGTTTGTGCAGAACATGTCGAAGCACTGATGTCCAAATTGAATGTCAAAATTATGCAAACCAACATGCAGCATTCGTATATATAATTATGAATTAGCCAATTAGTGATTGAATGATGAACATTTCAGTTGATCAGTTGTTTCTTAGCTAGCAGACACAAGTGGATATGGATGAAACTTAGGAGATGAAAATGAAAAGTCTTAAAATGTAAGAGGACAAAATTGGTTTTCCTCAGGAAGATATGACTAAAAAAAACAAAAGCGAAAATTTTATTAACAATAAAAACTCATGGAGGAAACGATTCAAGAGTTAATTAACGAGACAATACTAAATCAGATACAAATGCCAATCAGTCATATTCAATTATTTCAATCTATTTACTTTACAAATAAAGAGCCTCTGAAATTAAAAATAATGAAAACATGGAGCATAGGAGCATTAAGTAAATTAACAACGCTTATTAAACTATTATGTTACGTTATGCTACGTTATACTGTAAATATTCATGTGTAAGAAATTTTGAGAGAAAACTGTGTCTGAGAAGTTTAACAGAATACACGAACAATATTTTTATCTGATGGTAGTTGAAAACAAAGACAATTGAAAATTAAAATTAAACAACTGAACAGATTTTGGCTTGAATTAAGAGAATGGATAAACACAAAACACTCGCATAAAAATGACAACTATTGACATTTTCGGTAAATTAGCTTTGCTACTGAAGTAAGTTCTTAAGTTATCAAATAAAAATATATCTAAAATAAATTTTTTAATAAATTTAAAGGCATGTGCAAGTAGAAACGTTGCTAACAGCAAAGAAACTTACCTGTGCATGCAAAAGAATGGAAAGCCATTTGTATAGCTCGATGAGATTATTGCAACAAATGCTGTGGCCGAAGAATCCGCTGTATCAATGCAAATACTTTCGTTCAATAACGTTCAAGATATCAGTGACAACAAAATTAAAAACTTAATAAAACTGCAAGAATTAAACATGCATGAGGTGAATTATCACATCGCAGCAATCCGCAAGACTTACTTGACAAGAGGGGAGTTGGCCTGGTAGAAAGAGAAGCTATACCTGTTTCAAGTATTCAAAATTATAACAAAAAACACCATCTAATAATTCAGAAAAAAACATTAAATTTAATTAAAAGAAAATTTCAAATTAATTAATCAAGAAAGTACAGTCTTATAATTAATTTTAAAATAACTCCGTTTCTATAGAAAAAAAGGAATAACGAAGAACACGACATTTCAAGAATATGAATGCGCCTAGAAATACAATCATTCAAAATGACAAGCATAGCACAAAATACACAATAACTAACGTTTCTACAATATGAAATTTATGAAAAGTTTCTACAATAACAAATTCCACAATATAAAATTCATTAAACTTTTATTCTGAATAATTTAAACTCGCAACACAAAACATGCAGGCAAGAAAAAGAAGAAGAAGTTACCAACACTGTTGGAGGACTTCTCTTCTTTTGAACACCAAAGAAAATTTTGATGTCTTCAATCTTCCAGCTGTTTAGCGTGGTGGACGACTGGAGGTGAATAAATTATGTGGAAAATAAATCATGGAATGTATTAAAATTAATTTAAGGATTGGCATTGAACAAGGTGGTGAAGATATGACGTAGAAAGGGACACAACTGAATGAAGCATGCAACAACAGATACACAATGATGTTATGAGGAAGAATTCGAGATGACAATACATCATCACCACACCTTCGCATCTTTCCTGTAAGCCAGGTTGTACTTTGCAAATTCAAAATAATATTTTTTGAAAGATTTCTTGCAGGCATATCTCAATTCAGAATACATGGACATACGTGAATCCATCTGTCGACAAAATAGTTTGGAAATTGTCATTGCTTGAAATAATTAAATTAAATAAAAAAGTTCAAGATGGAAGAATTGAATAAATCTGAGTTTTAATTTAAAAGTCAAGTCTTCAATCATCATCGTATAACACAATCATTACAAAAGAAACTCACAAATTTATGAAGGTTGACAATACGATCAGTCTGTTTGTATTGAATCCTGTTGCCAACACAGAACTCTGGGGGCCAGTCTCTGTACTGCAGCATTGTGCTCATCACCAACTCGTTTTTGTACATAATGCGTTCTGTTTATCACATGCGAATTTTTTAAAACAATATCACTAGAGAAAACTTGAAGTTATAGCAACAAAATGTTAATAAGTTCGTCTAAACAAAAAATGCAATTGTAATGTAATTGTTAAAAAATGTTTTATGAAAACGACACCAATCAATCAGTCGGTTAATCAATCAGTCGGTTAATCAATCAATCGGTTAATCAATCAATCAGTCAATCAATCAACCAACCAACCAATCAATCTATCTATAAAGCATGATGTGAAAATACTATCATCTCGGCGTAAGTTTGTTGTCCTGACTCACCATTATCATACAAGGAACAATCACAAAACTAAGTTTATTTCAACGAGTGTTGACAACTCTAAACGAACAAAAAATTGAAACTGACCCAACTCTCCGTCACAAACAACTTCAAAGAGGACCCACTGGTCAGCATCTGTAAGCATGTACTTGACTGACAACCTCTCCATCAAGTCTCCCACCGTCGTCTTCGAAGTTAGCTGAATGAAATTAAACCATCCATCTATATCATCCATCAGCCCAATGTAATGACTTGGAAATCTTTTAAAAGTGCCAAAAATGTGGAAAGATCAACAATTCGCAGCATATATCTTCGCAAATAAACAGATAACAATCCTAAATTCGATCGCAATGTAGTTTAAAGGAACAGATCATCGCCACTTACACTATGAAACGCGCAATTATAATTTTCTTATTAGTACGAAAGTTATTTTAAGATAAGAAGAGCGAACTAACTTGAAGAGTTTAAAATATTGCATGAATAAATTAATTAATAAACAAGTGCTCTAACGTTGAATGTTGTTGTTTCGCCTTTATCAACCGGTCCAACGACAACACTAATCAGCATGGACCCTACCTGTTCTGACTGCTGGAACCAGTGCAAACAAATTATGCCATCATCAAAATATACTTGCAAACAAACTATATGGTTGTAGACTTTTTGCAAAACAAGTTATATATGATGAAAAATATTTTTTCAGACAAATTATATATAGATAAAAATATATTTGTAAACAAATAACATAAAAATAATGTCACGGTCTTGGTTGTTGTCATGTTAAAATTTTATGACAAACAGCACCATAATCCTCATCATCAACATTTCAAAACATCACTCTTATCACCACCATCATAGACATTTGGAGATTAACGTAAAATCATTGAGTATAGTATTAAACTAAATGACTAACATCATTGAAATTAAAGTTGGTCTTATTCAAGAGATTCATTTTCCGTAAGGCTTCCTTTATCTTATCATCTTCCTTCTTCTCCTCAGCCTTCACCTGCAAAGCATGTGATGAGTAACTACAATCAATGGTAGGTATGATAATGTTTTAATTCTTTCAAAACCCGATAGTTTAGTTAATTTATTATATAACTGGTCAAAATTTCGTGACACTGACTCTATAACTATTGTCTTCTATGCATTTCAAATAAAAATATCACATTTTACGTTTGGATGCATTTTTCTTTCACTCCCACAATACTTAGTTTCCAAAATGATCAGAATTTTCAGCGGCATTCAGTCGTTTTACAAGAAAGATTCACATACAAAACGCGACAAAGTTGAAAGAATTGAAAAAAGTAGTCAATTCAACAACTCCTAAAACGGAATAAGTTGAGGAACATTCCACCAATCAATGGTGAATTGAAGAACTATCACCTCGGGCATCGTTGCCACCATTCAAATTATGACACGCCCAACTTGAAAAGACGTAGTACAAAACTTACAAACTGAATTCAGAACAGTCATCACAAATTCCCTCTCAACTCTTCTCTACCTCACTCTTTTTTTTATAAAAAGGTTTCCTTTTTATTGGCCGTTATCAATTTACATCAGAATGTAACTAACCACCTTTTATTATTTACATGCAAGTATTGTAAAATAGAAAAACAGATGCGTCAGTATTTAAAAATAACGTCCCAATATTCTACTAATCAACGATGTAGATGCTGCATTCGTGTTCAATACACTACCAATTTGCTCACTATAATATATCGCTAGCCTGCTTCCAAGTCGCTAATCTATTGCGGGGACCCAGAGAAACACTATAAGATAAGAGTTAAATAACATCAGATAATAATAAAAATTATGATTGGGTGAAACGTCCAATTCAGGTGCGTCAGTCACCGAAAAAAGAATACAAAATGAATGCTCACGTCAAATAGCCAGGAATAATTATCAATGAATTCCTTGACAACGTTAATCTCGATAGCTGTTGACTGGTAACTTGCATCTTGATATTCTAAGGCCTGGTCAATCAAACAGAATATAAAATTAATATTATTTTACTATATTTATAATTGTGTAGTTTAATGAACGGACCAATCACTATGTTTTTAATCAGTTTACTTGCATGCAACAAGTCAAATTAAAATAAAACTGGAAAGCAATTATAAACAGTTTCATTAACTTTAATTACAAAAATAAGATGAATAAAACATCAAATCCATACTTTTTCCATAAAAAAATTCAACCAGGGGTGCTATGTATGTATGTACTGTACTTACCCTTTCAACTCCAAGCAGTATGGGACCAAAAATAGATGCAATGTTCACTGGTCCCATCTTGTTTGAATCACTCAGCTTGGCAATTCTGTCAAAAATTAATGACAGAAAAGGCTTGCTACCGTGAGATATTTTTTAATTGTCCTAAGCACCATATTTTGTTTCGCTTATGAGATACTTTTTGAAAAAGCGCATACTGCACAGTACACTCATAACAGTATAATACATTATTGTGTGAAATTCAAAGTAAATTTGAAAACAAATAAATAAATGATTGTATAAATAAATAAATAATTATTAGTTTGACTTTTTGGTTTAATTTTTCGAATCAGATCAAACAAAAAAATTCAAGTTTTCATTGATGAAAAAATGTGCTTAAGTAAAATTATTTTAAATAGCTGCTGACATTTTTTATAGTTTTTTCAAGAAAAACACAATTTTATCATAGCAAATAATATTTGACGGTTATAGATGAAGCGTGTAACCAATAAATGTACTAACTCAGTGAGATGGTTGATAATAAACTTGATGGTTGCATAGTTGATGAGGGGCAGTGAGTTCAATATTTCTTTGAACAGTATCAAGCGCTGATTCTTATCCTTTATGGCTATCATAAAATGGTTAGCAAGTAAAAATAATAAAAACAAGAAAAAGACATACAAAAGTGATTATTGGTGAATTCATTATTTTTAATATGATTATTTTTATTGAAAAATGATGGAATTAATTTCACAAACAAAATAACATTGAAATTTACAGTAAAAACATGACAAATGAAAAAACTTTTAGAAATGTTATCAGCAAAACACAGACAAATAATCAGTCTCATTTCATTTATCATGAAGGTCATACATACTTTGAGCTTCAATCCAGGCAGGATGGAATCCACTCGTGAACAGTGGTTCATCCAGCTGCCTCAAGTACCTCTTCAGACAGTTTGTGACCTCGTGAACTTGAAAGTCGGACTGGTTGATGGTCACAGAACGCACATCTAATGTTTATTGCTTCTCATTAAACGTCAGGTCATTATTGAATAACTTGAATGAAGCTAACTGCAGATGCCGTTTTATATATATTTTTGATATTGTTGATCTATCAACATCAATACTAATACATCATATCTGGCAATCAGAAAAAAATGTCTTGTCATTCAACAGGCTGTAAGCGTCAAAGTAAAAAGCGATAATAAAAATACATTAATTTTACTTTTATTACAGAAAAAAATAATTTCAGAAGTGTAGTCGGAACAATTAATTCATATTGCCTAAATCGTGTAATATAAATTAGTTTGTACATAGAAAAAACCTTCCGATAAGATTTCCAGCAGTTTTGAGACTTTGGAGTTCTGCCCACTCAGTCTGTATACTCCTTCAGTCTCCATGCCTGACAAATGAACAATCATTAATTATAAGATACACATACACTTGAAATGTCTCAAATCAACTATAAGCAATAATAATTTACAACAAATTAACAGTGTGTCGACAAAAAATAATAATTTTAACAAGGCTTTATAATAAAAATTTGTAAAAGTTGTATGCATGATAAGTTGTATATTAATTCAACCGATGAGAAAATCGAACAAACCAAATGCTGAAACAAAAAGGATGCATTTATCTATGACCACTGGAATATTATCAGCATTCATGAACTGCTTGTGAAGATTTGAAATGTCAAAGCTCTGTGTAACCAAAATAAAATCCGCTACATTAAAATAATTATAATCATAATAATATATAAACTATATTATATAATATAGTTTTATTATTTATATAATAATCATATAATATAACTATATTATTATTATTATTTGCTGTGAGAAAGAAGTCATAAGACGTCTAAAATGTAAAATATTCACTACTTGCATAATGATTTTGTACCTTCAATGTGTTATTTAAAACTTTAAGCCAAGACGCTGTCTCCTGTTTCGTATGACCCTGCAGCAACAACCTGTTGTTCATTTATACAAATCAACATTACAATAAACAATTTGTGCGAACTACATACAGCCACATCACAGCAGCCACATTACAGTAACAACAAAAACAACAGCATCAACACTCCCAAGGTCAATAAATCGCTGGGTATCACATTATCTGAACGGTCGTTCCGCCACAACAGAATTCAGACAACAGGACTCCAAACAACGCATGATACGCACCAGTGTTGTCCTCTTCGCTGTTCAACTTTCATGTCTCCAAAGCCTCTGTTCCTCCGCCAGACATCAAAATAATCTCATATGCAGATGACTTCACCGTCTACACAACAGGGCCGGATGCAAATGTCTTGACCCAGCGCCTCCATGACTACCTGGCGAAGCTATACAACTTCGTAAGTCATCGCAGTTTAGCATTATTTGCCACCAAATCTACGATAGCCCTCTTCACATCACACGCATCTCAATAGCCCTTTCATCTTCAAAGTTAAATTCAATAACAAATTTCTTCCACTTGAATATAATCCAAAAATTCTGGACCTCACATTATCATATTAGCACTTTGGCAGTTTCCAAGGCTACAAAACGCAACAATATCCTAAAAGCGCTCAGTGAAACCACCTTCGGCTAGGACAAAAGCACCCTGCTACAAACTTACAAGGCCATCGGCCGTTCGATAATAGAGTATGCCAGCCCTGTTTGATCTTCACTGGAGTCCGATTCCTGCTTCAATAGATTACAACGCACACATTGGCATGCTGCCACGGGTGATAACCGGTTGCCACAACGTAGCATCGCAACAGCATCTACTCTCAGAATGCCAGATGCTCTCCGTAAGGCAGCACACAAATCTCCTCTCATCTCAATTCCTCCTGCAGTGCCACAATCCAGATCACCCCTGCCACACCATTACCGCTCGGGTCACTGCAACCTACTTAACCACTTTAGGGCTAGAATCGACACTAGATTCTCCAATAAATGCCCTCTCTGCCAACATCATCCGGATGATGTTTCTCGTCTATTTAGTTGCCCCACCAACCCGACACACCTTAACGACAATGGGTCTCTGGCATAACCCAATGGCAGTGGCGAACTGGCACTTTCCACATCTGAATCTTCAGGCAGATGTCTAAAGCAGGGCACCACCTCCAACAACAGCAATATGAATTTAAAAAAAAGCAAAGTAGTAAAACTAAGATAAATCTAAAGACCTATTTGCTGTCTAGAATCTAGTATTAAGTAAAAAGCAGAACATTTCAAAATTAACAAGCAATAACAAACTAAAAAAAACTAATACAATGGGAAGCCCGTTAAAACATACTCACTTCACGCCGTAGAGTTCAATCAGAATTGGATCACCCCGTTCATAAGCCATTTTGCAGCTTTCTCCATCAGTCAAATATTCTAAAAATATTAAAGAAAGACCATCTCAATGAAAGCAACTTTGATCAGAACAAATAGATATTGCAAAACAGCCTTCAACATTAAATTGAACAAGCACTATGAATCACATCACATCTTATATACCAACTTAAGTTTTTCACTTTTCGGAGATCAAACTGTTCAAATCGCTCTTCCTGTTAAAAACAAAAGAAGTGATGCTATCATCATTCCATGATCATCACAAGATGTACTGAATGAATTCGAAATAATTTCCAAGTATGACACTCACCTGACTGTTGCAGTAGATGGTACATCCACACACCTGCACCCAAGTCATGTGCCATTCATCCTAACAGTAATATTGTCAAACAAATATAAATCAATAATAAATACTTGAATGTAGCATCCCCATTAAAAATTTTTACGAAAAAATAATCATTCGCTTAAATTAATTGTCAGAATTCCCATTTGAAATAAAAATAATACGAACTATGATATCATAATGTGAAACAAATAATTTGTTGATAATGAAGCTATAGACAGCAATCTTATACAATGTAAATAAAAAACTGACAAAAAAACTAATCCTGTCATACAGTGAGACTTCATTTTTTGCATGGTATTATTACAACTTAGAACTAGTAGCCAACCAAGTGATAACATTGTTTGTCAACCACTGCCAGTTATTTGAAACTATTAATTCTATGAATTCTATAATTAAATAACGGCTTAACATGTCCAGTCCAGTCAAATGAATACAGTAAATTGATGATAAAGCTATTTTCCTATTCAGTTTCAACGAACTAATTCTTTTTCAAGCGTAATTTGTTTCCAAGCAAAAACACAATTTTTTTTATTTTTTGAAAAAATCAGAATTCTGGAGACTTAGAATCTTTTGCAACGTGCAGACAATATTATGAAATGAGACATTTAAAAGCAATAACCACAACTACTAAAAAAAGTTTGTAACAAAAAATTTTCAAGAACAGTCGAAACTAACAGAGGTAAGCAGAGTTTTGAGATAAACATTCCCCCCCTTGTCGAATGGAATGATGTTGTGCAGTTCATCACTTCTTACAAATGCTATACTCTGTTTTGCGGGGTCAAATTTGTCAAATAAATATTGTATCACATGACTAAGCGAAATTTTAACTGATTTCGATTGATGCTGAATATTACAATACGGATGTTAATGATCACGGAGATGATCTGGTTGTTTGTGAATGTTCTTTTTCATAAGGATGATCTCTTTTACCTCTCTACAATTTTAATAAACATTATAAACCCTTAAATTGATAAAAATTATATTTTATATTTGTCTAATCAAATTTTTCGTCATGAAACTAAACAGCATAAACAAAATAGAAATAAACGTAAAACAAAGAAAATGTTAAATGAAAATATATAGATGTTTGTAAAATAATGAATGGTGGAAAATATATGAAAAGGAAAGTTGATAAATTGAAGTAACATAAATTGCAAGAAATTTTTCAAAACAACGTTTAAGTTGAAAACAATAATAAACCTGATGTAGAGCATTTTTATCTTTAATTTTATAAAAATGAAATCCTAACTTTAACTAACGTGAAAAAAATTAACTAGGTAAACAGTTATAAATATAAACAAAAATAAATGCCCAATCTCATCACCATCCATAATTAAGGATTGTTTTAATAAATCCTAAACATGATTTGTAAACAAACAAATGTGCAAATGATTATCTTTTAATGTAATCAATCCTCCCATATACAAAGCACATGTTAAAAAAAAGCAGCAGACATAACAATGGCAGACGAGTGTGTGTTGCGCACATTTAGTCAGTATATACAACACTGACGGCTTGTTCAAAATATAAAATAGCAGCAACAGAAATTACTTTTGATATATTTATAATCCACTGTTCCTTCTGGTCATCATCTTCAGCCATCAAGATGAGTGGGATGTCATTAGATTTGAAGAATATCTCAAATGTGTGTTGCATAGGTCTTTGGTGAAATAAATAAAATCATTGGAATATATCATCACTATCAATTGTTAGGAATTGGTGCTTGGTGCAAACATTTATTTATTATCGACTTTTACTTAGCTTAATAATATATAAATTATTTCACCAATAAACATGTTAACAAAAAAATAATCATACAGCTAAGAGCTCAAAAACAAAATATAATCAAAGATGTTTTTGTAAGTTTATACCATTTATTTATGCAAATGGTAATGTAACAACGTGTGCAAAAATAAAACAAAACAAATAACCAGTCAGAAAATAAAAGTTCACGTTAATGACAACAAACAAAGCTTTCCAAGATGACAACAACACTATGCGGAAAACCGCGTGCACACTGACACAACGTATTGTAATTTGTAGAACTCTTTAACAAAAAATAATAATGTGAGAGTTGAGAGGTACTCACAAGTAATCCGCTCTGGCCGTAATGCTCGTTATTTTTATCAAAGCTATTGATTCGGTTGGACCTTTCTGATGTAAATGTTTTTAAAGATATTTCTAAGGAAGTCCAAAAATTATTTAAAAAATTATAATATCTCTAATGGTGCAGAAAAAGCAAAAAAATGTCATTCATAACAAAAATAACAGTTTCAAAACTTCTTAGATTGCGTACAGAAACAACACAAAAGAATATGAAGATAAGAAAGTTTCAGTTTTTAACACTGATGCCAATTTTTAAGGAAAAAAACAAAATTACTCTGTCTGCATCAGAATAGATCAAACTGTTACAATCCAGTAGGAAATGCTTCCTGGAGCCTGTGAATAAAACCAAAATATAATAAAACAGTTCGTGATAGATATAAAGCAAGTCACATTCAATGCACGTCATTGCCACATAGCAAACCAATGACTCAATTGATGATTCAACCATTCACGTATAAAGTTTTAAATGCCAAATACATTTGGTTTGTTAGCAACAAATTTTTATTCAAGTTTACGTATTTCGTTTCACAGCCTGTTCATGCATAAAAAAATATTACGAAATTGAGAAATTTATAGGAGGTACTTGATTTCAAATTGTGTTCAACTTTCATAAGTATTCCTCGAAATTTTGAATTGAATTTTACATCCTGATCCTAGTTAAGAAATTTTGAATTTATATGAATAAACATTCGTTGTGAAAAAAATTACTTTCGTATCATCTTGTAAAATGACGAAATGGAATGGTTTATTATGTGTTATAAGAAAATAAATTAGAAAAACAAAACATGGGTGTCGAATAATATTATTAATAACATCAAATTACTTGAACACACAAAACTAATATGAAAAATTTAGCTTGGAAAAAATGGTTTAACACAAATAAAATGTATTTAAAAGTTTTTAATCTCAGTGTATGTAACTCAGGTAACAAAAATAAACGATTTTTTTTACAAAATTCAAATAATCATTTGAAATTTAAATAAACTGAAAAAGTTATGCTCAATTAATTAGAAGAAAATAAGAATTAATATATAATTATAACTGGTAATTTCGTGGATATATTCAATCAATTTAAATGTTTATGTTATTGTTAACAACTGAGTAGGTATTATAAACTAATTAACATCAGCTTGATTTCAAATGACCAATGAGAATTATCCTGACAAACCTTTATTTTCACCAATGATGGTGGGCTGACCTTCTTAACTTTTGTATCTGTTTTGGTATTGGTTAACAATTTATTGTATCAGTGATCTGAATAAAAAACGTGTCTTTCAGAAAATAGAGCATTAAAATCAGAAAAAATTCAGATAATTAAAATCAATGATGATTCAGTAAGATACACAGGACTAGAATTTATTTTTTAAAATAAGTGCAATTAAGTAATTAACAAATGAATTACCTTCTACCTGAAAATAAAAGTTATCAAAATAAAATGAAACCATCCATAGAAAGGGCATCAATTAAGAAAACAGATGGCAGAGAAATAAAAATTTTGCCTCAGAGCTGACTGAGTAAGCACTGAATATATTACTAACCAGCAGTCGACATCCATATCAGATAATTACATAATTGCTATCAGTAGTAGTAGTAAGTAAGCAGCTAACTAGATAGATAGAGAGATTGATGATGAAAACCAACTAGTTATAACAATATAAAAATTTTTATTCAAATCAGTGAATGTGCAAAAGGTATTTTATATGTTAAACAAAGATCAGATTAAAGATTCAAATTTTAAAAAATAACTCAAAATAATTTTGATTGATGACAAAAATGTTGTAAGGTATAATGATTGAGAGAATGATATAAACCAGTTGCAAAATTATTGCGATTTGTGGGTTTAGATTCATATTTTTTATCATCTAGAACCACTTCATAAGTAAATGATTGGATGAGTGAATGAATAAAAGAAACTGGTAAGTGGCCTGCTGATGTTACAAGTTGCTTTGGCAAAAAAATACATCACATACATTGTTTTATGGAATCCAGATGATAATGTTTAAACTAAAACAAGTCAAAACATCAAATTTATAAAAATCTCAAATGGTAAATACATTTAACAGCAGTTCAGTCCTATATAAGAAAAGATATTAACTATACTTATTATAAAAAAGTCATGCAAACATTAAGTAAACAAACTGATTTAAATCATCTTTCTTAAAAAACTAGCAATGAGATATTGAGAAATGTCTTTCAAAATGTAAAAGGTGAAAATGTAAATAATATAGAATAGAGAATAGATACATATATAAACGTATTACACATAAAGATATACATCCATACACACACACAAAAACACACACAAACACACACACACACACACACACACATATATATATATATATATATATATATATACTAAACCATTCTGATATATAAAATATACAAAAGTTTATAAACATAATGTGTACACAATTAATCCAACAAAAGAATTCCAAATAACCTGCTCTAGACACTTTTGCTGAAGTCTTTGCCATAGAAAAGGGTGATGACGTTAATGAGGGTGATGGTAGTGGTGGCGGTGACGATAATGATGAGGGTGGTGGTGACGATAATGATGATGGCGGTTGCTGCAATTTTGGTGTATCACAGGAAGTATCATCCTGAACTTTAATGACCCTTAACAATTTTGTCCTCGGCACTGTGGGAGGCGGAGGTGAGGTTGAAGATGTTAGAGATGGGTGCTTCAATTTTAAAACATTTATATCTGGCTTTAGAGCTTTATCAGGAAGAATAGGATAAATAGGTTTCATGCGTGATGGTGGGTAGTCCGAGTTGGAAATGTCAGGGGCGTTCTTTTTTGTAGACTCCGGTCGGGGTGGAATGATTGGAACATGTTCGATGGAATCTGAATTTGGAAAGATAAGAGGTGGAGGAGGAAAAGAGGGTGGTGGAATGGAATATATTGAATTTCGATCATCGATGAAAGAGTAATCAATCAGCAGATCGTTGGGTCTCAAAAGACTATCTTCGGTGACTTTTTCCTCATTTGTTGCATTGCTATCATTTGAGGATCTCTCACAACCATTCGTAATATTTTCTAAGAAAGTCCAATCTGAATCTTTAAAAATAAGATTTGTCATTGTAGAAAGATCAGATTCCTTAGCTGTCAACTGCTCTGTTGATGATTGACTTGATGTTTCTTGATCCAACAAGCCATCAATAACCTCGCAACCACCAGCTGTTTCATTTTCATACACTTCTATCCTATTCAATTCTATCCCCTTATTCAAACATGAATCTTTCACTTTATTTTGATCACCAGAAATGGCAAAAATATTATCTTCTAATAAACTATCTGATGCAATCCTAGGGCAAGCGATCGGTTTTGGTTTGGCCTGATTGTTCTCAGGAGAATCCTGATCAGTGAAGATATTTTCCAAAAAAACTGTCTCTTCATTAGAATATGGACGAACTACATTCACCTGTTGTTTTAAACTTGATTCATTGAATGCACCATTCACATGATTTAGAAAGGTCATAGAAAAGTCCTGAGATTGATTTGTATGAGGTGCATCAGATTTTTTATCACAAAGCAATGTATCGCCGACGTTTAAAGTAGAAATGAATGTTGACTGAGTAGAAAGTTTCCTCGGAGCTGGTACAGGTGTTTTGTGAGATATTCTTCCATTCATACTATCAAATTCATATTCAAAATCAGTAAATGCAGATTTCAATGGTGAAAATTCAGATGTTCTAGCAGTCGACGCGACTCTTTCCAAATTACCATACACAGCAGTTTTATAAATATCCAGACTTTCATTTTCATAATTTTCGATATCTTTTTTTACAGCAACATGGCTGCTGCCTAGCAGGAGTTTCAAGCATGTTAAGTTGGCAACGATTCGTTTGATGTCATCGGGTGAGGTAATATTAAGGTTCACCAGGTCTCTTTCAGTCATATCAATGCACTGACCAACCATGTCATAACCACCGGTGAGAAAATTTTTTTCATATTTTTCCAGCATTAGACTCTTCAGCCACTCTATTACTGTAACTCCTGACATGTTTGATTCAATTCCAGAGTTCGATTGTTGAACTTCATGAACAAAAACACATTCAATCACTCGACACTGTCTGTTTTAATTCAATTGTTTTTTACTCTATTGAATATTAAATTATTTGACATATATAAAAACATTTAGACTTTGAAGACAAGCTGAGTAGGTAATTATGAATTATTCTAGTGTTATTAAGTGATGTGAATTATGGCTACAACTATCAATTGGTTGTATATAACTTTTCATCATTGTGCTGGTTGTATTTTTATTTCTGCTTTATTATATTTTTAATTAAAACAAATTAAATTGAAATTAAATTAAAAATTAAAACATGAATTTTATAACATTAATAAATGAAATTAAAACAACTTCCCCAATGTTAATTGTTAATTAAACAAACAGATAAATTTTAAGACGAATTAATTAAATTAATTTAATATTTAAAATTTAATGAACAATTTTTCTTTCAAATAATAATAATTCAATTACAATTTTTATATTTCATAGTAACATTTTTTAAAATATTAATCACAATTCATAACCTGACTGTAAGCAAGATATTAATAAATTATTAAATATATAATTTTTATAAATAATAAAATTAAAAACAAATAGTTTAGTAATTAATTAGGTAGTGGTAGTTATGAGTGTTCATGTTTTTGTTTACCAATCATACATTTTTAATTTTTTAATATAGTCAGATTCACGGTCAAAAAATGATATATTCGTATTGATATTCAAAATACCATACACTAATAAACACAGATGAGACAACAAAAGAAAAGTGACACAGGCTAATGCGCTAATCTAATTAAATTTAAAAATAAGTCCAAAAAGATACATACCACAGATTGACAGTGACTCACTAATACTTATTAATTATTATATTAATAATTAATACTTATTAATAATACTAAACCATCCTAATTTTTTGTTTTTCAATTCCATTAAAGATTAATTAAATTATGTAAATAAATAACAGTAAATAAACTATAAAAAAACAAAAGTTGATCGGGAAGTTTGTGAAATAAACCAATCAGTTATCATAAGCATCGGTAAAATGCATAGCCGTTGAAATTCCTTTGTTGATCGTACTCAAAATATTCAAGTATTCAAGTACTTAGATTGAACTTAATAGTACTCGATAATCAATCAATCAACCAATCAATCAACCAATCAATCAATCAATCAATCAATCAATCAATCAATCAATCAATCAATCAATCAATCAATCAATCAATCAATCAATCAATCAATCAATCAATCAATCAATCAATCAATCAATCAATCAATCAATCAATCAATCAATCAATCAATCAATCAATCAATCAATCAATCAATCAATCAATCAATCAATCAATCAATCAATCAATCAATCAATCAATCAATCAATCAATCAATCAATCAATCAATCATTCAATCATTCATTCATTCATTCATTCATTCATTTAATCAATTAATCAGTTAATCAATCAATCAGTTAATCAGTTAATCAATCAATCAAATAACCAATTAGTTTTTAATGCGCCATTTCAACGTCGCTCAACAGCGCTTGACGGTGGACGGATAACGGTGAGGAACTACATGTACATAATGTGATGCCTAATTAAATATTTGGCATCCCATTCACCTCCACACTTAACATAGCACCTCATATCAATCACATCATCACAAAAGGCGTTCAAACATTTCATGCACTCAAAACACTCCGCTCACATGGTCTCAGAGGCATCAAATTATTCAACATCACTGAATCACTCGTAGTCTCACGCATCAAATATACGTGAAATACATCAAATATAAATATAGCTCCCTCCTGGTCTGGTTTTGCTATACAACAACAACTTCTGCAAATACAATCTTTCATCAAAAAACTAATCCGCTTCAACTATCTACCTGCATCAAATCCTACCGTCACTCAGATATTCAACACACTCGATTCAAGACTGTTCAAGAAAGTAGAAAATAACAGCAACCACGTCATCCATCCTCTCCTATACTACTACAACACACAACCTTCGTCAGGGCAAACATAACTATCAAATCGCCACCCAATCTACATATCAGGAAAAGACTTTCATCACAAGACACCTCAAACATATTAACACTCAATAAAACTTTATCATTCACACAACTAGTTTTTATTTATCGATCAACTAACCCACTAAGTCATCATCTAGTCTATTAATTTGCGTTTTTATGCCATTAATTCATTTTATTGTCAATTTCTTTTCTTTTTTTATTTTACTATTATTATTTATTGTTTATTTTATTTATTTTTTGTTTAATTTTGTACTACTTACTGCCTTGCATGCTGTAAGTTTCTGCGTCTGTCAGATCCTGATATTTAAAGAATAATAAAAAAAAATAATTTAAGAATTTTTTGTATCCGCCCAGCTCCTATTTAAGCCAACGTCTTTTCACTAAGGAATGTTTACAAATTGCTTAAGGTTTTATTTTTTTTAACTGTTTAATTTTTTATTTATTGTTAAGCTGTTCATTTAATTAAGATTTTGTTAGGACCTCATTTCAATCAATAATGTTAGTGGACTTAAATTTTTCCAATTTTTTAATTTTTTTTCTTTTAGTGTCTGTATTGTAGGACTGGTTGAATTGATTTGATATTGATTTGATTGAATATTTGATGATTTTGTTAGCATTTTTTTAAAAGCATTGCGATACGTAAATTGTGAATTTACTTGAACGTGCTCTCGATTTTATTAACGTCGTGTGAACTACTAATAAATCTTAATACTTTGGTTTGGGAGAAAGCTGTCCAAACTCCATAACAGTTGGAAAATTGAAACAAAACTCAGAACCCAAATATTATAAAAAAAATTAATATATTTATTTATATTTAATGTATTTGATGAAATATACATATTTTTATTTTATACGCATGCTCAAATACATATTGTGTTTCTTTGTTTAATATTATAATTTTAATCTTTAATTAATGTGAATACTTAATGATTAATCCTTAATAGTCATTAATTAGTTATTATTATGATCTTCAACTTTGTGCACACGCAAACATTTAGCTGATAAACAGATATATCCAGTTTTATGTGCAATAAAAAAGTAGGTATTACCAGTAAGCAGCTCAATAACTAACTTTTTTATGTTATTATATCAGAATCAAAATAGATAGAAGATACTCAAACTGCAAAATTTAATTTCAATTTTTGAAATCGGGAATACCAAAGTTCATATAATACTATACTATATTATATTATATTATATTATAAAAAAGTATAAAATGAACTGAATTAACCAGGGTTTTTTAATAATTTTGTTTTGGCTTTTAAAGCAACTGAATAATGCAATGTTCATTTTTGACCAAGGTACAAAACAAATAGATAGTTATTTATTATTAATTAATCAATGTTGTGTGGGCTTACTTAATTCATTTTTAATAATTATTTTTGTTTTTATTTTCATAGGTATTAATAAAAATAATTGTTATTCAACTTTGCTTTTGCAGTAATACCATGACATCTATGAGACAAAATCCTCTGACATGCAGTGGTCACACGAGACCTGTCGTACATTTGTCCTTCAGTCGTATCACACCTGACGGCTACTTTGTCATCAGCGCCAGCAAGGGTTAGCATCTTTTTTTTGACCATTCAATTTTTTGCTTGTAGTTTTTCATTTTTGATTAATTATAATATTAATTTATTTCAATTTAAAAGTTTAATCTAGCAATCACTATTGAGGTTTATCTATTCAAGCATTAAAATAACCTCCAAATGACATTCAATAAGGTTAAATCATTTTGATTAATTTGACTGAATTTTTTACGAAAGATGCTAAGCCAATGTTGCGTCAGGGTGAAACTGGAGATTGGATTGGTACATTTGAAGGGCACAAGGGGGCTGTGTGGGCTGCCACATTAAACTATGAAGCTTCGAAAGCTGCTACTGGCTCAGCGGATTTTACTGCGTAATTCAAACATTTTTTTCAACTTTTGTTTTGAATAAATTCACAATTATTTCAAATATTTTCATAAAGTATTTTAGATATTATTTCTTGTTGATAATGAATTGCAGAAAAGTGTGGAATGCGGTGACAGGTGAGGAGGTCCAGTCATTTGCTCACAAGCATATTGTCAAATGCGTCGATTTTTCTCCTGACAGCAATTATTTGTTAACTGGCAGCAATGAAAAACTTCTTCGCATTTATGACTTAAACAAACCCAGTGAAAGTATGTATTTTGAATCTTTAAATCTTTATAATGTTCTTTTAAAGCCTCAGCTGACTGCTATAGAAATATGTGAAAACGATTGTTAATATTTTCTATGTTTTAACTTTTCAATTTAATTTCTCAAAATTTCTGTTATTCATTGGATTTCTAGGTCCAGAAGTTATAAATGGTCACACATCAAATTTGAAGTGTTGTTTGTGGTTGGATGACAGAACCATCATAAGTGCTGCAGAGGACAAAACTATCAAGTAATAATACATCATTTTCCTTTTAAAAAGATTTCTAGTATTTGAATAATCATTTTTTAATTTTAATGAATGGCTTGAGAGGAGATGAGTAATGGAAGACTGAGCCTTATTGCATCATCTGTTGATAAGTTTTTGAAATGTTAAGGTTTTAGAGAATGTTTCTTTCAAACAAGTTTTATACAAGAAATTAAATGTCATTTTGTATAATGAATATTTTCAATTCTTAACCAGTTTTGTTTGAATTTTTTTCATTGATTCAGATGTTTTTTAGTCATAAAATTAAATAAACTCTAGAATTAACTAAATTATTGCATTAATGTAAAGATTTAACAATTTATTTTTAAAAGATTGTGGGATGTACACAACAAAAGTGAAATACAAAGCCTGGAGTTGAAGTCAGCTGCTAATGATCTGGAAATTTCAGTTGATGGTCAGATTCTCACAGTGGCTTACAGCAACAAAGTGGCTTTCCATAATGCAAGAAGGTTTTTTCAATGTTTCATAATCTTGATTCTCAGATTACGTTTTTTTAATTTTTGAACTAAAATTATTAATCACATTTCTTTTTATTATAATTTATTACATTGTGAGTTTTCAAACAATTTGTTATTTCTGGTTAATTTAAATTTTATGTAATATTGTACTTTTCAGTTTTGAAGTATTAAAGGAGTTTGAGGTTGGCAGTCCAATAAATTCAGCTTCTCTCCATCCAACGAGAAATGTTTTTGTTTGTGGTGGAGATGATTTCAAGATGTACAAATGTGATTATGAAAGTGGCAGTGAATTAGGTTTGTTTTTTCTCACATTCATTTCAGAATATTATAACTAGTAATTAATTTAATGGTTGTGATGGACTGCTTGCTGTCTTTTAATTTTATCCATTTGCTTTTATTATAATTTCAAATAGTTGATGTTGTTAAAGTTGGTCATCTCTCATTTCTTTCTGATAGGGAACTGGAATATGTTTCAATAACTTTTACTTGACTTTTTCATTTTTAGAATCTTTTAAAGGGCATTTTGGTTCAGTTCATTGCGTACGGTTTTCACCAGATGGCGAATTATACGCCAGTGGTAGTGAAGATGGAACCCTGAGATTGTGGCAGACAATTGTTGGAAAAACTTACGGCTTGTGGAAATGCATGCAGTCAGATGATGTTTCACCAAGTTTAACGTGTGACAACGCTATCAAAGTTGATTGTTGTTGATCTTGATCAGACAATCAGTATTTTTGTTTTTCTGAAAATGGTATCAAAATTTTTTTTTGTCAAAATTGGAATTCTGTTTTATTTAAGAATAAATTACCGCCAAGGCTAAGGAAATTTACTTATTTGCAACTTGTGGTTATTTCTGTCTGAATCGAATTAGATAAAATTGTTTATTCAGTCACTTTGTTACTAATTTGTTGTCATTTGTAATATAATGCAAAAAATAAACTGAATTTCAGAAATTTTTTTAACTAATTGATTTATAACACGATAAAACTTGTATTTCAGGTATTCTTTTCTTATCCTTTACAAGGAGAGATAACTCAAAATTCTTTCTTCTTACCCGCCACATAATTAAAAAATTATCTTTATTCCGGTCAACAGGACTTTTTAAATTTCATATGCGTCTTCATTTGGACTTAATGGCTAAATTAAAATAAAACTATTTAAAACAGTGAGCTTAATGGCTTGTTGCGACACTTTGAAATCATGATTTACTCGGCTAATCCTAGAATCAATCAAGTGTTGAACTACATTTCAGGTTAATTCCTTAAAAGTGCAGTAAAGAAAACCTTAGAAACGTTTCAGATAAGGGTTGTCCACGAAGAATGTCACGTTTTTTGCGTTTTTTGACTTTCTTTTTCTCCTGTCAAACTGTCACAAATTTTTGAACTCCAACGTCATAACTCACCATGTAATATAATACCAACTACACAAATGTTTAACCCGACTTAGAATCTGAAGTTGCCAATAAAGTTTTCGTCGAGCTCACTCAATTGAAACAGCGGTTCTAAAAATGGTCTAAGATATTTTTGTAGCTGCTGATATGGGAAATGTGACAAAACTCGCTGTTAATGATGTTTGCGCGCATTTGATACGGTGGACCATTTTGTCTTGCTGAAACGATTGTCGGCTTCGTGTGGTATTACGATTGACGCAATAATCTGGTTTCAGTCATACGTGGCTGCTGATAGAACTCAAGTAGCCGATGTATGTATAAACGGCTCGGATACTGGTACTTAAGAATTAATTTGTGCTGCTCCGCTTGGTTTGGTTTGGCCCATTGCTGTACATACTATACACAGCGGACATCGTCAACGTTATAGAATCGACAGGTATCCGCCGCTATTTATATTCCGATGACATCCAACTGTATGTATCTGGGTCAACAAACTCATTTCATCATATGTCCACAGTTGTTACAAATGCAATGGGCCTATAATTCAAAAAGCAAATCAAGGAATCGCTAAACAGCAAAGCGTTTTGGCATGTTTATGGCGGGATATGAGGTCATGTAGTCATGTATTTCGGGGAATCTTCCATTACGAACTTCACACAAACTATGTAATAACGCAAGCGTATCCAAGTCCAAATGAAAAGGATGTTTAGTTTAATTTTGTAGCGCAAATCAATACCATTGAGTATAACAATTCAATGGAATTTGTATCGTGTTGTAAAACAAAATCTTCAAAATGAAGCGCTTGAATGTTACTTATTGAAAGAAACTTAATGCTATCAAAAGCGAATTCGTGGTCTGAATGAGCGTATTGTTGTGATGAATCCACGGTTGCAAAGTTATGTGATTGATTGTTTTTTTTTTAAACGGGCGTGATTTAATTAATGGCGGTAGGGATTTAAAGATTTGTATTTTTGAGAATAATTTTTCTATTTACTCTATTAATGTTTTTGTATGATCTCCCGCGACCATGACTCATCCAAACTTTCAATTTTTTTTATAAGTTACAAGTTACATATTTATTTTTACTTTTCTTTTAAAAAATAAAATAAAAAGTTAAATTAAATTATAAAAAAATAAAAGTCTCATTTTTAATAAATTAAGCCAGCTAGTTCTTAACTCTTAGAATTTAGAATAGGTCTTATTCTTAGACCTAGAATAAGATAAATAAGTAAGAGTTACTTATTAATTTTAAAGTTTTAAACAAATGTTTTTTAAGTTAGTAGTAGACAAGTACTAAAGTAGAAAAACTCTGTCACATTTGTTCATCACTCAATTTGATTCAGTACTAATAAAAAATGCCGTTAGTTAAGCGATCGATAGAGCCGTCTGCCATAAGTCATGGAGCAATTGGATCAGATGTGAGGAATGAGCTAGAATGCGTTTCTAACAACACGTTGTCTAAGATCATCAAACAACTTGGTTCATTGAGCAAGCAGTCGGAAGATCTCTTTGCTGAATTGTACGTTGAAACTTGTACACTGGCAAATAGAACGACTAATTTAGGCAGAAGAATTGATGGTCTGAAGCAAAAAATTTGCCAGTTGAATCCTATTGTTGAAGAAGGTATGAAAATAATTTATATTATATTATAGTATTAATAATTAATGTATTATTTTGAAATTATTCTTATCATAGTTATTGTTATATTTAAATATAAAAAATTATGAATGCCTTGATTGTATAAATTTTAATATACATATGTTAGATTATGAATAAATTATAATATACATATGTTAGATTTAACTTTAAAAATACGCCCTCAGCCTTAAAGCTTGAATAAGTAATGGTGAGGTTTTTAAGTTTTGAGAAATAATAGAAAATAAAAGTTTTTAAAAATTTGCTTGCCTATAATATATTACTTAACATAAGATCTAATGATATAATGCTAATTAATAATTTATATAAAACTTTACTTTATTCTAGTTTCTCTGCAAGAAATTAATCAACGCAAGCCATTTAAAAGTGTCATGTGTCGAGACCAACAGATCATGCTCAGATCAACTCGTCCCCACTCAATTGCTGAAGTCTACAAGATGTGTGAAATGCCTCCAGCACTCAATAAATTGGATGTCTTCAGGTCAATATTTATTACATATATTAATTTATCTAGCTCAAAATTTTGAAATTTGAATAAATAAGAGGCTTCATTGTAGAGGATGTTAAGAAAAACATGGTTAAAATGATTGGATCATTCAGAAAGAAAGATTGAAGACTTTAGTAAAAATTTGCACAATCTTTTAAATTGGATAAAAAAAGATTTGTGGGTTGAAAAAGAATCATAAATAACTACAAAACAAGGAGGATTGGATGGAGCTGATAATTTGAAGACATTGTGAGCAGACACATGAAAAAGTGGAAAGAGAATCCGCTACATGTTTGACCAGAGAGCCTCTGTGTTTGCATTCACCTTGGATAAGGAGTTTGGTTCAAATGATTTAGAGGATGATTTATTCATACTGTACATACATTTGATTTTAAATATTCAATACTGTATAAAACTTATTTAACTATTAACCATTTTTAAATCTTGCAAACTACAAAAACAAAATGCAATCTACAATTAACTTTATGCATTTTACTGGTGACTTTTTAAATTGATTTTAACAAAATACATGCCAATCTTATCTTGTTTGGATTTCATTTGATTTGTAGTTGGGGTGGGATGCTTGCTGTGTAGTGTTTTGCTGTAGATGTAGTGTTATATGTATGGATTTTATAGTTTATAAATTTTGAAGCATTTTATTTATTTATGTTTTATATTTTTAGTTTATATAATCTATGAAATTTAATCTCATGGCTGTATAAAAACAAATTTGAAAATTTCATTGTTAAAAATTGTTGGTTAAAAGTTTTTATAATGATGCAAATTGATTAATGTTATTAAAGGACAATGTTTGGATGAACTGAAAAACCATTTTAGATGATGCATGATCATTCTTAGAAATGAATAAGGGAATGATTGAGTGAGTGAATGAATGAGTGAACGAATGACAATCATCAAAAAAAGATGCTGGTAGTTTGTTGGTTACTGTGTAGTACATCCTTTGAGTCATGTTTGCTTTATAACATTTAATTACATTTTTTGCTGAACAAGTGTATGCCTGTATGTGCAATAGTAAGAAAAAGAACAAAGGTTTCAGCTCAACTACACATTTAAATTCACATTGTACTTGATTTGAAATATGTATATGCATCTTACATCTATGTACTAGCAAATAATTCTCACTCATATATCTATATATATTGTGTGTTTGTATTTATTATACATGTAGATGATTTAATGGATATACAATATGGAAAAAGATTGTTGTAGATGCAATATATACGGTGGCAAATTTTGTCTGAGATATCTATGGCTTAGTGTTCATTAAGCTTGTGTTGAGGATGTCGATTCATCTTCCTAATAAGAACAACAAACTCAGCTTTAAAAACTTTTGATGGCTGGGGCAGAGAGGTCTCCATTAAACTAGGTACACAATGACAATGGTAGCTCATCGTTGTTTCAATGGTGGAGAACCAAAATATCTACGAGAAGTTTTTTGTATTAAGATAAAAGTGGGGGGTGTAGGATTTGTTTTGTGGGCAGCTTGATCAAAATTGATGATGATGAAAATTATAAGATGATTCAAAACTTATACAAAGAAATGAACATTTGACTTTGACTGTTGGCTTTTTTGTAATTTAATCATTCTGTTAGATGATGTTGTTAGAATTTGCTTATCATTTTTATCTTTCCAGAGAGGATGGCATGGACAGTTTGAAGTTCTATACCAATCCGGAGTACTTTGCCGAACTTTGGTTTGCTGAAATGAAGGCCGCTCAGCACCAGCAGAAAAAAATTAAACAGAAGCACAGTCAACTGGTTGGTAGATTTTTATCTCCCATCCATTTATAATATTTTCATCGTCCTCTTCACACATTGTTTATATTTTCAGTTGCAACTATTAATTTCATTTAACATTTTAAAAAATTCAATCTTCATTCACTAAAAATATATTAATATGGCTTGCTTGTAATTGTTGACAGAATTGTATTAGTAATTTTTTCTATAACAGAGTGATCTGATGTTTTTACACTTCATTTTGTTCTTGTTTAAATTTTATTACAATTTCCTCATATTATTTCAATTTTTTTCATCTTAAGATTTATTTTTACATTTATTTAGGTAATTGCTAACAGAATTTAATGGATTGCCATCAATTTTAAATTTGACAGCCTTAGTTAGGCAATTTGATGTTTGCATTGTTGTTATTTATTTACAACTGATATGATACTAGTTATGCTGTTAGTATAATGCTTGATACTAACATGCAACCTAACTAACATAATTAGAGATCAAAGTGTAACAATGCACTTAGGGTTATGATGGGAGCAAAATGATGTTAGGTCAGCACTTATTGTTAAATTTTATTAATGAATTTTCAGGCAACAAACCAGAAGCCAAAAACAGTGCGAACACCAAAGAACAAATTGGATGAATTCAAGGAATTAAGACATGGGCCTGAATTTGTTGAAAGACCGAAACGACAACTGCAGAACATTCAGCGGCATGAACAACAACAACAGCAACAGATCATTAACTACAACGACAGCATGAATCACATACAGAAAAATCATGAAACACCTTTCAACCCAGCAAGGAAACCTTCAGATAAGCAGAAGAAACCTCTCATCTTACACCCCCAGCCATTGAATGAAATGAGTAGCACACCAAATGATGGTCTAAGATATGAATCTAGTGAATTTAACAAAGACATCAATGAGATCAATGCCATCAACCAATTTGAACACGTATGTTACCGTACATGAGTCAACATTATTTCTGTTTATTATCATTTTTATGTTGATATAGTAAAAAAATAAGATGTATAAAATTTGAGGTGCAAGTTTGCCTTAATTACAGTTTATTTCATCCTATTTCTACAAATTATTTTGCTTTTTGCTATTGAAGACCATTTAAATATCTTAAATAACATTAACTTTGTAGAGATAGATTATTTTGTTGATAGAAGCACCTGTGAATTATGCTAGTTGCAAAACTGTTTTGCTGATCAAATAGGATATTTATACGTTGTAGGCCATAAGTTGGTTCGTTATTTGTGTTCTTATTGAAATGTTTGTTAATTTTAATGGTGTCCAGTTGTAATCTATTGAGAAGTTTTGGAGATCATGACGCTGAATGAAACTTGAGATGGATAGACTATTTTATCATTAGACACAAATGCTGTACTGACAGAATTGATGGAAAATTTCAATTGAAAATAATCTTCCAACTAATTTTCTATTTGTTCATTTTACATGTCAAAGGTTCAACATGAAAAGATGCGCATGGCTGATTGTCGATCAAATTCTGTCTCTCAGATAGCAGCAAGTCGTCCTTCAGCTCCTCCTCCGGCTCCACCCAGTTCTGCGACACTCAAGAAACAGTCTTCCATCAGCCAAACTGCCATTAACAACAACAATGCCAACAACTTTAACGTGGTTCAACAGTACCAACAAATGCAGCAGCAAACTTCTGTTACGTCTCCATCTGATCAGGAGTATTTAAAGGATGTGTACACACCACAGCAACCGACTGACTTCATCCCATCAACTCCTACGTCAGCATCAATAATTTCGTCATACAAACGTTCAGAGCTTCCCCCACCACCCAGCCCACCGTCACAAGATCAGTCATTCGACTTCCACAAATTACTAAGCCCCACTGCTATGCCCCCACCGCCAGCCTTCCTAACATCCAACCAACAGCCTCATCAGGACAGTGACAGTTCTCTTCTCCCACCTCCTCCTCCTTTGCCTGACTCCTTGCTCACAAAAATGTTGCCATTTCCAAATACTAGTAGCGTTAACGCAGCTGAAAATAAAGACGAATCTGGTAACGAAATAAACATTCAGTCCTTGAAAATAGCAAACTCCCATCTTCAGCAACCTGACGAGGAATTAGTGAATTCCAGTTCGACGACGACAACTGAAATGAATGTGGATGGTCTTGTGACAGCTTCAACCGACAGTCAAAATGATGCAGAGGCAAAAGTTGGGGACAAAGGTCCAATAGTGCGAGACACCAGGTCTGATCTGTTGTCTGCTATTCGAGAAGGTTGGTTTTCATGTTCTATTTATTATTTGTTCTGGCTTCAAATCTTTCTGCTTTGTTTTTTTGAATGCTTCTTTTTTTAGTTGTTTTATTTCAGTTTATTAACAACAACTTAATTATTTATACTTTGTTAAATATGATCAACTATTAAACATCACAGGCATTCAGCTGCGTAAAGTGGAAGAGAACAGGTTGAAGTGTGAACAGAAGCACACAAAGAAGGGCGGGGCACTGGATGTTCAGTCCATCATGGAGGCGGCGTTTGAGATGAGAAGGAAAGTGATGGAGAATGCGGATGATGATGAAGATGATGAGGAGAATAACTGGAGTGATTAATTTTGTGTATACATAATTTTCGAACGCTGTTGTTTGTGTTTGTGTGTGTGTGAAGTATACTTAGGGATGAAATGTGTTGTGTGCTTGTATACATGTTTGTTTGCCAGGTGCTATTAAATTCATTATCATATTTTCAGTCAGTGTCATCATGATTATTATGAATAGTTTCAGTTTTGTATCTACATCGTTTTAAATATACTAAACCTTTTACCTTGGTAGTTAAATTATCTTTACTTTCTGGCAGAAAAATGTATTTTTGACTGTTTTTTTAGTTTTGTTTTTTACTGTTTTTTGTGTGTTCATTTTTTATTAATGCTTCTATTGTAAATTTGTTATTGTAATGTTAAATTTAAATTTATACTTCTTGTAAAATAGTTATAAATGAATTTGAGGTCAGCATGGGAATTCTTGCAGATTCATCGAGTTAGAATTCCATGTGGCCAGTTTTTAACATTATCAACGTTTATCTAAGGGCCGTTTAGTTAAAATTATGGTTGGTCTGTAGCATATATTGTGTACAGTGTATAATAGGAATGAATCTAATGACATTTATCTACAAATATTAAACCCATCTAAATGATTGCTAGAGTTTGAACTTGTTCAACTTAGTTGACTGAAAGAAATTTCATTCACTCTAATTCATTATTTTGCGCTAGTAGGTGCACATCATTATGTTTAGCATGTTGCATACTAACTACTTTTATATAAGAATATCATTATTTAATTTGTATTACGTCGTGCCTTATTATATAATGTTCTAGCATGTTTCAATCTAACGTTTCTATTTACGTTTGCAAGCCTGATATAACCTTAGCAACTAGTTGCCAGTTATTTTTGTCTGGGAGTTTTTAAGCATTTACACGTTTGAGTAGCAATGTACCAGTTGTATAAATAATCGATTTAATGATCATTAATATTGAGTTATAAATGTTTTTTCACGTATTATTTTTCTAAATCATGGGATGTCTTTTTAAATATTTTTTTTATTATAAAATTTGTGTTTATAATTCAACAATGATTTTAAAAACTCTACAGAACTAAAAATAGTTTGCTCAGTTAATTTTATTTTCTCTCATTTTGTTAAAAATTTTCATTATTTTGTCTTTTTTACTGACGTCTATTGGTTATGTGCGTTTGTGTGTGCGCTCGTTATTTTTATGAGAGGAAGCGACTGCTTTTTTGAATGTTTTCGTAAGAACACATCTCTTTTTCGATTATTTTTGTCTTCGATCATTTTCGTCTTTGCCTCACAAGTGCAGAATGCACGCTGACGAGGCAGATGAGTAAAATGAATCACGATGCTTGTTCTTTATTTACTTTAAAAAGAATATTTATTTTTAAATTGATTGTATACTTTTGTCCGTTGTTAAAATATTAATGTGCATAGTTTAAGAAGAGTAAAATATGCCGTTAAATTAAGGTTGAAATGAATAACGAACAAACGTTCCTTTTTTGAATGTTTTATCCATTTTCAGTATCTCCAGTCTGTAGTTCAGAACGCTTACATGTCCGTTCTTAGTCAATTTATTGATCAACTCAGCACCACTTCCAAATCGTTCGATCTTTAATTGAGCTTCATTGAGGGTTTTAGGCGTCAGTGTTACTTCTTGATGGCCTGTTCATGTGCTCACCATGTTCAAGTTTTTATTGTGAAGATTGTAGTACATAATAAAACAGTTTAACGATCAAATTCTACGCAATATATTTAGTGCTTCAACGAGACTGATGGCCACATCGTTTAATTCATATTAATCTCGATCAATAAGTTTTACCCAATTGGTTTGCTAGAAATTCAACTAAAATAATAAATAAAAAACACGTGATGAAACAAAATGATTTCAACCAGAAAAAAATAAGAAGTTTTATTTTATTATTTTCATACTTTCAAAAAGTTAAACTTCAAAAATATTCTACCTAAATACAAATATCTGTACAAGAGTTATTAAAGGACAAAATGACATAATACAACATATCACAGTCATGTAATCGTTAGTAGATATGCAACATCTTTCTGCAATGTGCTGCAGATTCCGCATTTTAATGATTAGTCACAACGAAATGTTCGTTTGTAAGAATAATTAACATATAAAACGATAAACATTAAATTATGATTGTGTAAAAGATAAATAATACAATGCATGGCACAAAAATTAGTTTCAATAACATCTTCCAATGTCTTCTCTGCACATGTCCGCTAGTGTGTGTGTGTGTGTGTGTGCGTGCGTGATGCACGTGTCAAAATCAACTTGCTGTTAACACAAGTAATTGCATCAACATCACATTAACAGAATAACATTTATTCAACATCACATTAACAGAGAAACGTTCATCAACATTGTTAGAGTTTGGCAAACAAATTGCAAAGGGGACTATTTTCAACATAATACTAAAATTTCACATAGTTTAAATAAATATCTGCCATTAATTTGGAAAAATACAAATGATTCAGTCAAAAGAAGTTTTTTGAGGTCTAGCTGATCAGGTCATCTAAAGTTGTATGCTCATTTTCTTCTCTGAAATGAAAAATTATCAATTTATTTATTTTTTTATTTATTTAAAGAACTGGGAGGCCAAAAGTTATTACTAACTTGTACGTACAGTCTTTGTAAGTTCACAAAACAATATAAATATACATACAAAATATGTATACATTCATTTACATACACTTACATATGTTCAGGCACGCAAAAAGATTTAAAATATAAATGACTGTTTTAGCAAATACATTTATAGTAAGGATGGATAAGTGAATAATAGTATGATGTGCTTGGAAAGTTTAGACTCAAGTTAATGAAGAATTCCAAGATTTTTATGAAGTTTGATTGAAATTTTCTATTTGCATTTATTTACGACGATGATAGATGATTAACACCGAGACTTTCCATGAAACACACATTTGTGAGCATATTAAGGAAAAAATAGTGTACCTCTAACAATGTTGCAACAGACATATGAAAGCTATCTTGAATATCAAAATATATTAAAGCTGAACAACGCAACAAAAATCTAATGACCATATAGCGCCACTAACACCAACAACAGTAGTGACTTGCTAACCAAATAGCAAAAATGTTTGATGCCGCAGCAGATATCAAATAATTTTTTCTTAAAACAACTTACTTGGAAGCCCAAAGTTCGGCTAGTCTGATTTTTATAGACATCGGGTGTTGTTCCCATAGGGTAGACCAGCATACGAACTGTTGACTTTCCTCTCTTTTCATATTCGTACGAGATCAACTGCTTCCAGAATCCGTCATTTGGTCGTATTACATGGCGCTTTTCTTTCAACATGAAGTAAGCTTCTCTTAATGTTAAATTCTCATACTTCACAAGATATGCTAGACAAATGGTAACCTGAAAAGTAGTTGATTGTTTTTATTGATATACTTTAATTAAATTATGAAAAAATAGGTGCTGAGTGTGTGATGAATACTTTCAAAATTATAAAGAATTCATCTAATATTTAAAACATCAAAAAATTCAAAAATTAACTAATAAAAATATCTGAAATATCTTCAATGTTACTAAAAAAGTTGATAATGTTAATTAGGTTCATGAAGATGGAACAAAAATATGCTTGCAACAACTATATAAAAAATTGTCCAAATTATGACTAAAATGTAAGATGAATCAAAGCCACTGACTGAACGACTAATTCCTAATGCACAATGGACCAGACTGCTGGCGCCTGCTTGCTTTGTTGCATGAATTAGATCAGCACATTCGTCAAAATGTTGGTTTATATTGGCAGTTGCCACGTCATAAACTTGTAGGTGCTTCACTGCGACGCCTGGTATATCAACTTCTGGTATTTCTAGGGCAGCATTGATGACTGTTGTAACATTTCGTTTTTGAATCTTCTCAGGTGAGAGCGATTCAAAATCACTTAAATATAAACCATCACAAACAAACGTGATATCCATTTGTTTTAAAACTTCAGCTTTTTGAGGACCCAGCAAATCACTGTTGCTTGGAATTTTACTTATTTCCTGAAAAATGTTTGAGATGTTTAATTTCATTGATAAATTATTCAAAATAAGAAAATAAGTAGATAAATTTAATTAATCTAATTATTGAATAAATACAAAAATGAATTTAAACAATTGATTAAATTAAAATATTAGATAATTAAAATTTAAAATGTGTGAAAAAATTCTTACTGTCGTTGCCATTATTTTTTGTGATGAAATTGTGTTCACTGTTTCTATTATTTTTAATAGCTAGAGAATTAGAGACCAAGCTAGATCTAGTAGTTGTTACTAACATTAAATTAATAAAAAACTAACAAGTGCTAGAACAGCTCAGCAGAAAGGAATAACTTGGTGCCTGGTAAATCAAAAATTTTTAATTTTGGGATCAGCCCAATACAAAATGATGTTAACAGTTAATAGAGATTAGTAATAGATTAATTAATTTTTAATTTCAATTTTTAAAAAATGTGACTTTCATATTTTAGTGTGCAAGGGCAAAAAAATAATAACAAAACATTACCAAACCGAAAATTGTTATATAATAACAACAACACAAACCTACCAAAAAAAGTAATTTAGATAACTTTAATCAAAAATTTAGAAATTTCTTAGCCAAATAAAAAACCGATAAATAAATAAAGGTAAATAAACAAACCGATCAAACTGCAAGCAAAACGGCCTCAATATTCGCTTAGAGATGGGCTGATTTACCGAAAAATAATCGGAAGGGAAACGATAATCGATACGATACGGAAACAATGATATGATAGCATTTAACGTGAAAACAGGTATAAAATGTATAAGTTCTCGTCGACACGTGCTCCTGCTACTATATATACCATCAAAAAACAGAGTTAAATAAATATGGAAAAAAGTTGTTAGTATTTAATATATTCTTTGGATACAAGTTTTATAGTTTGTTCTACATATTTGGTTGAAGTCATATGTAATAATATAGATATATATATATATTCTAAATTGTATGTTTTAAAAGTACTGAAAAAGAGCTATATCATTTTGCATTATTGTGCAACGCCTGCTGTTCGTGACTGAATAAAAATATCATTAATTGTTTAAATGTTTTAGCTGGCAAATTACATAGAAGCACTGAAAAAAAACACTTCATTTTAATGATATTGTTTTAATCCTGGCAATAATTAAGAAAACTTTATCATTACTGAACTAGTTTTTACTTATTGATCACCACACTTTTATCGATCACCTCACTAACTCACTAAGTCATCATTTAGTCTATTAATAAGTCATCAAACATATTAATACTCATTAAAACTTTTTCACTCACAGGCCTAGCCTTTATTTACCGATCACCTCACTAACTCACTAAGTCATCATCTAGTCTATCAATTTGCCGTTACTTCATTTTATTTTCCATCGTCAATTATTTTTCTTTTATTTCTCTTATTATTATTATTTATTTTATTCTAATATATTTTATTTTTCATGTTTTATCATTTCTCTTCCTCACTTTTTGTATTTATTTTCTCACTTATTTGTTTAATTTTGTTTTACTGCCTTGCATGTTGTTACAGTTTCTGCGTCTGTCAGATTCTGATTTTTAAAGTATAATAATAAAAAAAAATGTTGGGTTTACGATTGGTGGGAATGATAGAAGAACATTAAATGCTTTAGTTAACTCGTAAAATTTTATGCCGTTGAATAAACATTTAAATTTTAAATAACGATTTTAATGTTAAAATAATGAAACATCGTTATAATAAAATAAATAAAATTATCCTAACACGTGTATGTGTCCTAAAACGACACTGATAAGAAATTTCTGCAAATCACATCCGTCCTATCATATAGCAACATAACAATTATTATTATAACAAACATTATCTCCGACTTAAAAACCTTACATTTATAATTGGCCTACATAAAAAATGTAGGATTTTTTAAAGTTATTTCTGGATAATACAACTAATATGCTGAAATAATTTTTTTCAAATATTCTTTAAAAGAATTAAAATTCAAATACGTTTAAAATATCAAAAAAATGCTTTGAATTGATTGAAAATTTGAACCGTGGCGGATTTTGGAAAGGGGTCGGGGATGGCGCTGATATAGTAAAATAAGCTGTTAGTTTTTTTACTAGATTTATGTAGTACTCAATTTCCTGAGCAAGAAAATATATAATTTGATTATGGAAATCCCTACATTTTTTGATATATAGTGTTATGAATCAACCGATCAGTTATCATTATGCATAACCTAACTCGCTTTATAGTTTGATTAATTTTTTAATGTGGCGCTGATAGAGTAAATAAGGCTGGTAGTTTTTTTTTTCTAGATTTATGTAGTACTCAATCTCCTACGCAAGAAATTATATAATTTAGTAATGGACGTGCAGACGTTTCCTAAACATAGTATCTTAATCGACCAAATAAGTTGGCATTATGTCTTAAGGAACACACAGCATAGTTCAATTTTTTGGAATGTGGGGCCGACATATTGAATTAAGCTGGCATTTTTTGTTAAATTCATCTAAGGGAGCCATGACCCTTCATTTGGCTCCCTTTTGCTAGCAGTATTTTTATAAAAAGTCTGTAAAACTCAATCTTTATTCAAAAATTCACCAAAAATGATGTGATAGGCAAAAAAAGTCCTCAACCAAATTTTAGCCACTCTAGTACAAATTTGGTTAGTTTCATGATTCCTCCATCAAATTTTAAAGTTCAAACATTTTTTTAAATTTTTTAGATCCGCCCATGTATGTGAAAAATTTCAACCATCAGTTATAAATTTTAATCATCATTCTAATCTTAATCAACTTAATTTTTGAACATTCAAACATTATTAAAATACAGCAACAAAATGATGTTCAAAAATATTCAGGTATAGCATCAATTATTAAACTTTTACGTCTGAATAATTTTTCCATTCTATCTTTTTATCTTTAAACAAACACGAGCTTGAATAATCTATATATTCCGATTTCCGCTTGAATAATCTATATACTCCGATTTCCGTAAAAGACTTCGACACTTTGTTAATTACACAATTGTTCACACAATGTTCATACATTTTCATTCCAATCAATGGATTAACAAAATTTGTGGAGAATGAAAAAATTTCGTTTCTAATTTGATAAAAAAATGTAAAGCAGACCTATCACTACACTTTTGTTCGATTTTTTGTGGAGAGATTACCTAAATGTAAAGCTTATAATATAAACAAAGAGCAGAAAGCAAAACAAGAATTTGTTGACACTGTCATTTCAATAAGAAAAACAATGAAAACCGATCCCACCAATTTTAAAGAACAATTATAAGCGATCTGGTTCAACCGAGCCAGCAAAGCCTGGTGGAGGCGAATGAAACGTTGCCTGGTTAATCCGCTGACATGATGATTGCGTCAATATGCTCCGTGCATTTCGCTGGCTCGAATTATTTTTCTTCGCGCGATTCATGTTTACATCGGATTCAGTAAAAAATTTTCTGTTTGGGATATTTTATATTAGATACATGTTTTTGTTAGCTAATCGCTTTTATTGTGAACGGATGTGCACGACAAAAGTTTAATGGTTTCATGCTCTTCTCAATCACCACTTCATGACATTGTTATACGTAGATCAATCGGGGTAAGGTTTGTACGTATTGCATGTTACCTGTACATTAGCGTACGATAACATGCAGGCATGCTTCACGCATCCACACTTGGTGACCACGATGACCACGCACACAACAAATTAACACACCACACAAACAGCAACACATCAAATACAAAGTGGTGTAGGGTTACGGATAGAATGGTGCATTAATTCATGCATTCATTGTAAGCCAGGTAGAACATGAAGATGAATGAAGTGATAGCGGTAAATAACAGGCAGATTAATTAGATAAAAATAATTACATTACAATAACATATAAATTTTTCCCAGCATTATTTAATTTAATTTCTTATTAATCATATTATCGTTGTTAAAATTTTAATTGTATTTTTTATATAATATGTTGATTTTTGATTATTTTTATTGATATTGTCCTTAATATTAATTAACATAATAATTATTGATACTGTTATTATTCCGGCGTAAAAGTTAGTTTTTAAGTAATTATAGCCGTCAATCCAGGTAAAAAATTAATTACAATCGTTGAAACAATAAAAAATTATGAAAGACAACGTAATAAACTGTTAACTGTCGATTAGTATGAACTAAATATTGAATAAATGAATAAACTTGAGATTCAGCAGCGATGTTCAGCAACCGCCATGCTTAATAACCGCGTGCACTGGGAATTAATAGGAGGAACAGAAAGCAATAATTTACGAGACATCAGATGAGAAGAATCACGAGACTTTGAACTGTCAGTTAATAAAAAAATTCACCTGTTGTAACTCCTATCTGCATATCTCAACCAAACATCATTGTTTCCCAACTCACTCTGTGTGCTCGTGCTTGCGCGCGTGTAAGCTTTTGTGTATTTGTGGGCTATGTTTGTGTATGTGTGAGTTTTTGTGTGTGAGTTGGGTGTATAAGTGCGAAAGTGTGCGCGCAAGTTAGAAGGTTGTATCTGCTGTTGTTTGCAATTCGCAATTAAAATTTTTATTAAAATATGTTTGTCAAGAGGGGGAGCAGAGGTGACCGTACCAGCATGCTGCTTTGATGATATCCAAAATATTTGTGTAGCCTACTGCGTAGATTCAAACGCACATACGCGCATACCCACATTCACACATTATTATGCATACTAACATACACACATGTACAAACAAACAACGAACACACTTATGAACACGCATGTGCAGTACATACACATACACACCTCCCTGCGACACAAGAAACACACTCCTCAACGAACAATCAACTATTCGAGTATTCCCAATACTCAAATGACAACATTGCAAAGGCTTTCATGTCTGGTAATTAATTATTTTACCGTACCTTGAATGCAATATACATACATACATCCCATCACATATTTCTTACATATTTATTCACATGTTAATTATTTTTTCATCATTTTTTTATTGTCACTTTTAATATCGTATTTAGCTAATTTTTAAATCAAATTAATTCATTTGAGGGACATCTGGCAAATTTTCAAAAAATTGAGAATAAGTACAGACAGGTCGGTCGGGCTGATTTCCTCTGCATGCTGCCTGAATGACACACACGCGCTGCGGTCTAACTGCACAAACCAGGATTGTGTGTTCGGCGTGAAGTTACAAAACAAAAAAATCTGAACGTAATGAAGCTGAACAGTTGAGACTAGTGGACAATCTTGAAAGAGTGAATGAATGAGAGTGAACGAAGGAGTGAGTAAATGAATGATTGATTGAATGGATGTAAAAATGAATGAGTGAATGAAAAAATATAAAATAAATGAAAATTCGATCAAAAGAACATGGACCAAGTGAATGTAACTTTAAAGAAGTCACCGGCATGCATGCATGCATGTGTTTCGTGCATTGCAGACATAAATAAACATGAGATCAGTGCAACAATAACATGATTGGCAGATTAAACACGTTGCTTGACACGACAAATGCGTAAAAATCAATGAATGGGCTACAAATGAACAAATGAACTACAATAAACTATTGTAGGGGTGGGCAAGGTGTGTGTGTACTCGTGCGTGTGCGTGTGTATGTGTGTGTGTGTGAGTGTGTATGTGTGTGTGGGTTTGTGCAATTGTTTTGTTTTGAAAGTTTTTTTAATGAATCTCAACAATAGATTTTCAAATGCACCTTTGTTATTAATTCAACCATTGTCTTTTATTAAATCTTTAGTTTGATTTTTTACAATGGACTTATGAACGAGCAAAAGTTGTTGTCAGTTTCATTCTTCTCTCTCACTCACTGAGAACCGTGGGAAATATGGGAAATACGATGTGAAATTGTTTTGAAATGTTTTGTGCAATTCAATTTGCGGCTATCAACTGAGGTTTGAGTGAAATTTATTTATTTAGTTAAGGATTGCGAACAAAGTTCCACTTATGAATTGAAACACACAGTTGCCAGCTGTTTTATAATTTATTTCAGTGTTAATTTTAATGTTCGTTCGGATCCAATTTATTTCACAAAGTCATTTTCAAAGATGAAACTTGCACCGAGCCAAATGCAAAAAGCAATCGATCGACACGTGTATATTTAGGCTGTAGCAGTAGGGTTCAGTCAGACAGAGACGGCACTAGATGTATCGGAATGTAGTGCAATTGGTCACACACTCACACGTGACTTCATACAAATCAGAGGTTAACATCGATTGTGATCACTGCTCCATGCAACAGATAACATCTTAACTGAACTTCCAATAACAACTGCACAAAATTACAGAGCAGCATTACAATGAAACAACGCACACGAACATTATATCACCGCACAGCAACAACTTTAAAAACAACATTACAACAACATAAGGACAGCAAAATTACAACACCCTAAGCATTGCAACCACATCAACAACATTACAGTCAACAACAGCAAAAACACCGAAACAACTTCCCAACAACATCTACTACCAAATACAAATTAAGTTTTGAATTTCAGTAAGAACAATGAAAAATCTCAGTGATACAACTGAGATGATGATGATATTAAAGAGCAAAACATACAATTAACTAATCATTATTAATGTTTATGATAGTTAAATCACGTTATTGTTAATTTGGTTTTTATTTTTTCATAATTATTTTTAATGTTGACGACCATTCATTTATTTATATCATTTAAAAATTTAACTTGGAAAGCATGGATTGATATTCTAATTGGTTCTGAAATTTTCAAAAACTCTTTCTATTTAAAGTTTTAGTAGAATATTTGTGGGGATCTCCAACGTTTTAGTCAAACAAGTACTATAGTTTAATTCTTATAATTTTAAATCTATGATTTCAATTATTAATACATATTTTATGTACATGTAACTTCTGTGCAACTGAAAAATATTTTCAGAAATCAATGATTTGATGGACCAACATCCTTGGTCAAATACTGTACCAACGTAACTTTCGCTATTATTCAACAACATTGAAATAAGTTGAATTAATTGATTAGTTCGATTAATCAATTAGTAAACTTTGATTCAGCTGTTAATTATTTGATGTTGCAGTAACTAGGAATAAGAATTATCAAAACAATTTACACAGGTTTTGATCATTTGTTGCTTTGCGGAACGTTAACTTGGAAGCAGGAAGAAGAAAAGTTAAGATAAATAATTTATTTCAACACAACTACAAAACTTTTTATTATTCAAGTGCATTTGGTTAGAGAAAGAGTTGTCTGAAGAGCCTTTGAAATGAAAAGTGATCAATTCATGCCTGACTTTATAAAATACTGATTAGAAATAAGAAAAAAGGACATTGCAAAAACACGTGATTAAAACTTCGTACGATTGTCTCGACTGATGAAAATTTTAAAAATAAAAATGAAACTTCACACAAAATAACTCTACAAATGAAACTGTATATGAAACTTCAAAAAATATAAACAAATTTGAAATAGTTTGAAATGGAAAATTTTTTTGCAAGTGTTTTAAGATGTAGATGAAGAGAGTGTGTGTAAGCGGTCGTGCGTCTTAATGTGTGTCTTCATGTTGCTGCTGCTTGCAGATTTCTTGCCGCAAATTTTACAAACGAACGGTTTGATTCCCGAGTGTGTCAGTTTGTGTTTGTCCAGATGTGCTTTCTGTGTGAACCTCGAATTGCACTTGTTACATGCAAATGGTCGTTCCCCGGTGTGGGTCAGTAGATGAACTTTCAAGTTGCTCAACTGGCCGCATACCTTCTTGCAGTATTTGCATTCGTACAAAAACTTTCCGTTCACTTTTGGCAGATCGTACGGCAAAGAAGCGTGGCCTTTAAATCTTTTGTTGGTGATTGTTGACTGATCATTTGATTCGTCGGAATTTGGCGATGGTGGTGTGTTGATGTGACTTTCATTCGGTGACTCCTGTGGTGACGGCTGTGTTGGCAGACAACTGGCTGAGGGGCTGACCAGATGATGAAATCCAACATTTTTGAAGTAACTGTCGGGTCGACTGAAGCTTGTATATATTCCCAGATCTGCAAGAAAATATACAAAATTTTAAATAAACATTTTAAAATTTAAAACTGAATAAATTTTTGACATCTTTAATATTAAATATTTGTACATGTAAAAGTCATGTTTCAGTCAAAAACTTCGTTACAATAAACCTCCCAAATTACATATTAGTGGTTAAATTTGGACAACTTAATCTAAAATTCCTCTTATTGAACTGTTATTCATTAATCGTTTTTTATCGCTCTGGATCGGCATGTACAAGAATTTGAAGGTGACCAAATTCATAATAAGAGAATAAACGAAAAGAAAATAATTACTAAATAAAAATCTTAAAATGTTGAAACAAAAATATTTTTGTTGTACAACAAAACAAACAAAAACATGCTTGCATTTGAAAGCATAGAGCAGAGTCAAGGTTGTTGTGTCTTAAAATAAGAGGCGAGTACCTAATCACTCAAAGTTTTGTACTCTGGTCTTCTCATTCAAACTCTTATGTGTGTGCGTGTGCGTGTGCGTGTGTGTTGTCTGTATGTGTGTATGTATGTCTTTATTATCATTAGTAATGTTCGGTGGCAATTGGTTTCAAGTTGGCTTCAAGCAATCAAAATATTTTATATGAAGTATGCTAAAAATGTATAAATTAATGCATTTGCATTTATGTACTGCACACACATGTGCACATTTGTGTATGCGCTGTGTACAAACCTTAATCTAAATGTGCCTGTATTTAGTTATTTTTTAATATCTTTATGTGTATTGCAGTTTGTAAGTTTATACAATACATGTATGTATGTGTACGTTTTTATACTTATATACATAAATATATTTGATGAAACATTGTAAGTGTGGTTCTGCGTATGTCAGAGATGCAATAATAAAGACTTTAAAAAAATTTGATTAAAAGTTTATTCTTAGTAAATTAAGTTAGATTATAAAATCTACTCAATTATTTTTGACTGGTTTCGCACTTTGTTATGTGGAAAGTGAACTTTTCAAAAAAGAAGTAATAAATAAATAAATAAAGTAAGTTAACACAATTATTCTCAAACTGATTTGATTTAGTAACAAAATCAAATCAAGGAATTTTATAATTTATTCAATGAGTTATTTGGAACAAAAAAATTGATACAACAAGCAGAAAAACAACATGTAAAGCTGTTAGTGTTGTAGTTTGTTACGAAATGAACATTCAGGTGGCGGATATGACGGAAAGAGTTGTTAATTCCAGAGGATCCAACTAATGCTTGCATTGATGGTAACGGATTTCAATCGGGAAGTCAGTGGGGTGCATCGGTTTGCTAACAATCTTTGATGTTGCGTAACAGGGTATCTATCTTGAAACAACTTATCACTAATGATATCTCCTCATTCGTACTTTGACTGTCTCGGAGCACAACAGCACACAATTCAATAAACACGTACGATGACGCAATTAATGGAGTTTCATTATTGACGCTGAAAATTTATTAACAGTTAACACATGCTCCGCTTTGAAGTTTCTGTCAATTGTTTGTCGTCATTGGCACGGCACACGCATAAACAAAATATGCGATGTGAAATTTTGAATTTCGCTAATGTATTTACTCAACTTTTTAACATTTTTGAAAAACATCACGTGTGATCCACACATCTACACACACTCATTCACACACACACTCATTCACACACACACACCACACACACCAACACACACCAACACACACACACTTAATACATGAGATCATAGTTAGGCGGATAAACATTGGTATGCAGGGCCCACACAACATCTAAGTATGCATACAATGTGGATAATTTTAAACACTAACAGTGAATGTAGCTGGAGTGAAGAATCCTGTGCATATATTGAGGATGGAACCAAACGCGCAGTTCAGCTCCTTGCAGAATGTCCTCAGTGGCAAAGAAGTAGACGAGGTCCTGGAACTGACAGGCCAGCAAGTTGTGGCCTCTGGTCAGACTCGAGAAGGAAACAAATCGCATCCAATTGCTGGCTATCAAGTTCGATGTGTCCAGGTAGTGTGAGATCGTGATGGACTGGGGAGAGGAGAAGATCTGTGTGGTGATGGAAATATTGATGATAATTATATGCAAAAAACTTAACATTCAAATATTTCACCTACCAGTCTTAACCAACAGTAGCTAATCATTTAACCAACCACAACCACACATCCAACCAGCCACAACTACTCACCGGCCACAGATCACTTCGATAGCACACTCCCCTTTTCAAATTCAACATCTCTCCCTCTGAAACAATCCTTCCCTTCAGAGGTCCAAACCTTGAGCCCTTCATTATCGGCTTCGTCGTCCAGACGCCCATCTGTGGAGTGGTTTTTGAATCCATAATGAAGAACTTGACTTTTAAAGTTGATTACGCGCAAGAAACAACACAACATTTTCACTAAAAGTTGATGAAGCTTTTGGAATATGAGTCTTTTACGACATGCATTAAATAAAATAGATAAATAAATTTATATATATGTTTATAAACACATGTATAGAGAAAGAGTAAAAAAAGAGAGAGGGAGAAGAAGAGAAATATTATTCAAGATAATGTTTAGCACATTTCATGTATTTAAATAGCATAGTTTTGATATAGTTTCAATGTGGCATTTGATAATGCGTCTGGTTGCATAACAGTCCATTGCCTGGTGATTTATGAATTTATTGAATAAACTCGCCTCTGTTGGTGTGGTGTCAAATTCATAATTTTCGAAAATTTATGAAGCTGTCGCCTGAAAAATAAGTGGCCGCTGTGTTAATCTGCACAGGACGCTACGTTGCAAGGTTTTTCTTATTTAGCGATGAACGTTTTAATTTATATTTTGGTAAAAATGCTTATTAAAACTTTTCCATACTATTATCAATTTCTAGATTTCCACCTATGCTTGTTGGCAGTAAGTTTACAAAATATACGGCTTTGCAATGGCACATCCCTGAACACCGAATGGAGCATTTGAGGAAATGTTATGCAACACCACGTATGACGCGCCTATTCAATCGACTCACCATGGGAGGCACACTAAATAATTTCCACTCTGTAGATTTGCATGTAATGTTGATAGAGGTTCATCAATAAATCTTCTACAAGTTCTGGACATCAACTCGTATTTTTTTTCTAATTTATTTAATAATCTTTCTTGCGCTTTCGACCTTACTTATAAACACGTGAACGTGTGGATATGGCACAAATTTAACCAAAAAACATGGAAAACAAAAATATTTTCCAATAAACATACATAGATTAGGTCAAAATGCATATTGGAAGACTCAATGCAATGAACTTTCAACAATCTCACCTAGTTCAATACGACGAAATGAAATATAGCTATCTACTAAAACAGCATAAAACATGAATTCTGTACTTATTTTGAGTAATTGGACTTAATTTGTTTGTTGAAAATGTTTGTATATCACAAATTTATTTGAATCTGTAACAGTGCTGACAACAATATAAAGTTGTGTAATTAACCAAATCAAAATAATTCATTCAATTTACAAAACTAAAATATGTAAAAACACAATCAATACATCAAAACTCACCGTGTTGAAGTTGGACGATGATGGGTGAAAGATTAGTCCCTGAGGTAGGGTGGTGTAAGAGAGGGTGGTGCCGTAAAATGAGGGACTGACCCTTCTCTCTTGATCTTCTATCTTCCATGTTGTCCCAATGATCCAATCTTTTTCCGTTGGCTCTCTGGTGCAGCTGAGGAACTGAGACGATGGCGATGATGATGATGATGCATTGGTTGTCGATGATGATAACGATGACAGGGAGGAAAAAGATGATGGCATTTCACTAATAATTTTCTTAAATAATTTTTCTTGTTGACTTTTAAGAAACCGAAACTCTCCAACTGATTGGAAAGAAAGAGAAATACTTTGTCCCACTAATTTATTAATGTACAATATATGACCTACATTCAAACTCTTCATAACCCTATTTAAACATTCAATTTTTGTTTAACTTCCATAAATTCCAATCTATTTAAATACTGAAACATAATATAAAAGTTTACTTTCAATAACCAATAAGCAGCGGTTTCTAAAATTAAAAATCTACTGACCAATAAGATGATAGCATTTAAAGGAGGCGGAGTTATAAGTTGAGATCGAATGCTCAATTAACGGAATTGCTTTGTTGTGTTTTGTGCTGTTTGAATGACCGTTATTGCTGCATCTGATGTGCAAACTTGAATTGTGAATTTGTCTGTATGTGTGCTAATATGTCTGGTGGTATGTGTTCTTGTTTGTCTAGTTGTATGTGTTCGTGTTTGTCTGTTGGTACGTGTCGATACCACTTGTTTCTAAAGACGTTCACGTTTATAATCCGTTTACAAATTCTATGAGAAATATTTGCAAGATGTTAAATCAATTTTTAAAACAAGTCTCAGAAGATGTTTGAACTAAAGCCATTTTCTGAAAATCTGGGATGGTGAAAAAGTTAATGATGCACTATAAAGCCAAATTCATTTGAGTTTTTAGCCAACTTTCAATTTTATGATAATTTAATTTTAGAAGCACGCGTCAATTTGTTGTTCATTTAATTCAAAGATACAAAATTAATTCTTCGCTGCTAAATGGCTTATCCTTTAAAAAAATTTGACAGCATTTTTTAATTTTTCGTTACGATTAATATTTCAAATTTTGAAAGAAACACAAGCCAATTCTTTTTAAAAATTTACTAAGTGTTTTTTATAGATCACCCTGAGTTTTTGTTGAAAAGATTTAACGATGCGAAAATCTAAAATATGTTTGCAACAAACATGCGAGATCTATATGTTTCTAACAAAGAAATTTGTGTATGAAGCCATTTAAAAAATATAATCTAAAAAGTAGAAAAGCATTATAAAATCTAAGAATAAAGCTAATGAAAATCCGTCATGAAAATAAACAGTTTGAAACTGAACCATATGATAATTGAACCAGCAAACAAAATTTACATAATTCAATTCACTCAATTAAAAATTTTTCAATAAGAAATTCTTGCTCTCTTCCACACACCACACAAACACACGCGCGCGCGCGCACACACACACTTAATCACATTTTTATATTTTTATTTTTTTAAATCAGCCAAGCAACAACTTCCAAGATTTTGTGCAAATAAATTGTTTTTGTTGTTATTGATTTTGTTATTATTATTTATTTATTATACTGTTTGCGGTGATAAACTAATTCTAAAATGTATATGTGTGTTTGTTTACTTGTAAGTGTATGTGAGTTTGTCTATTTGTTTGCGTGTTTGTGTGTGTGTGTTTGATAAAATTGTGGGTTAGGGTTGCACACACTAACCGTTAGTGTGTGTAATTATATGATAATAAATTTACGTATTGTTTCATTTGTGTATTGTTTTAAACAATTTTTATTTAATATATTAGTGGTGAGGATTGAACATAGGGAACAAATAGTGAACATGTTTACAAGCACAAAAAAATAGAACGCTCTGAAATTTAGTATGAAATAGATAGATACTCACCCGCACACACAAAGTTACATAACACCTCGCGTTAGGACTGTTAGATACAAGTTCTTTGCAATAAAAAGCATTTATTTATTGATCATTTTATTAGAGGGCTGCCTGGCTTCTTATCGATGGAAACCATTAAGAGGTGAGAACATGCATATTAGATGTGTAGCAACCGACGCAATGTTATAACTTCAATGTCTACATTGTTCTCGAAATATTCATAGAGATAAATTTTTATTCAATGATTTCAATCAGCGTTTCGTTTTAGTAGTGTTTTAGTTAATAAATTTAAACTTGAATAATTGTATTTGCATTATTTCAACAAATCCATTGAAATTTTATCACATCACTCAGAAGATGTTCAATTCAGGCCTACTCAACAATTTCAAACAAATTATTTTTCTCCCTTTGATTTTGTTTTTAAATTAAGAGCACTAATATAACATTCGCATATAACGATTTACTAACGTGTTCATTCAATTGTTATCAATTCTACATCTTCATTCTTTCTGAATTAGCTTATTCATTTGAGTGTGTGTAGCGACTTTGTATTGATAGTTGTTGTATGTATGCATGCATGTATGTATGTATGTATGTATGTTTGTATGTATGTATGTATGTATGTATGTATGTATGTATGTATGTATGTATGTATGTATGTATGTATGTATGTATGTATGTATGTATGTATGTATGTATGTATGTATGTATGTATGTATGTATGCATGTATGTATGTATGGGTGGGTGGGTGTGCTTGTGTCTCGATGGCTTGTTTTATGCAGCGCTTCGAAGATTAAAGGTTGCTGTCCATTAGAATGTTTTGTTTATAATTCATTTCATTGTCGTCCGCCAGTGTTTGCAGGCTGATGTTGTTGCTGGTGCCATGTGCGGCTCATTTGATCAGGCAAATATTGAAAGGTGACTAAGTGAAAGATAGATACAATACATGCATGCTATCATCGTTTATCATTTTCCGTACATTACATTCCACGCTGGGTTACCATTTCACCTTTCAAATACTTTTCACTGATGAAATATTTATTTGGCATTTTTGCCAAACATAGATTTGGCTTTCCATGTACGAAGTATAAAGAATTTAGATGATTAGTTTTTATTTTTTTAGTGCTTTCAAAATAAATATTGGTTTGTAGTTTGTATTGAGGCATGATATTAAAAAATTACACAATGTAATGATGAATAATTTTTAGTCAATTAATTAATTTTATTTTAATCAATCATTTAAATTGTAATTTATATAAATTTGAGTGAAGAAATGTTATAAGGGTTTGTTGACACCTTTCAAAATTTTGCTAAGGAACAAGAAGACATTGAAGGTTTCTGCTTCATAAGAAGATTCACCTTTGTCCCTCTATCAAAACCAATATCGCTGATCATCATCACCATCCTCACCGTCATCATCACCATCGTCATCGTCATCATCTACATCACCGATAAGTCAAACGAAATGAATAACGTTCGTCTACTCATGTGCACGTGCAATTATCCGCTGACAAACACACGCGCGCACACACACATACGCACACACACACATACGCACACACACACAAACATACAAGACACGCAAATGAACACAAACATGAATGATATATCCCCACGCACAAACAAAAATACACACCCACACATACAAACAAATACACACACTCAAATATACAAACAAAATATACAAACACATTCACGCACAAACACACACACACACACAATGTTCACAAACAAACACTCAGCCCCTTATAATGCATGTGTTAGTGCTACATATTTGTGTATGTAGTACACTACACGTATGTTTATGGTCATGTATGTGTGTGTAGGTTTTGTATAAAGAAATGTTTTGCTAATTCAATAGGATCATTAAGTTAGCAACACAATTGTGCGGTCTATGACACGGTAAGTAGACAGAATGTGATGTTTATGCATGTGAGTGTGTTTGTATGTGAGTGTGCTGTGTATGTATGCGGATACCTGTACATACAAGTGCTTATAGGGTATATACGCAAATATATATGCATATGTATGTATACAATATTCATATACCTTAGTAATAGTTGATTAGAAGTGTATTATTTTATATTACTTTGTTTGTTTGTTTTTGTGTGTGTATGCAGTGTGTGCAACTTTTTAAGGTTGTCGTCACTGAACAACGAACAGCACTGAATTGAAGTTTCATACTTTCACGAACCATGATTTATTTGCAAGTTTTGGTTGGTTTTACGGAGATAGAATGTTTTAATGTTTTAAATTCTTGCGACCGGTCAAAGTGTTTCAGCAAGAAACATGATAATCAAACGACAAACCATCTCGCAATTTTTCGCTGAATTTTTTTTTGTTTCTCAACCGATTTAAAAAATTACCGCTAGTTAAGATAGGTTATTTTTGTTTAGATAAAGAGCAAGTTAAAAATATTGAACGGTCATCTGATTGAAGAATAACGCCAGGCAATGGCGGAACTTATGAGGGCACTGGCTCCCACGTTGCGAGTAGTTTTTATTAATAAAAATCAGAAAAAAGACCGCTTTGTGTGTAAAAATCGACAAAATTTGAAAGTGATGAGCATAAAATAGTTGTCAGCCACATTACTACAAATTTTGGCCTATCCCCTGTAAAAATTTAAACATTTTCAAATTTTTGCCTCCTTCTTCAAGTTGTATGGATTCGCCACTGACGCCAAATCACAATCAATCGTGATTATCTACGTCATAATCAATCACGTGATTGATCAACCAAACCACGTCATAATCAATCATCTGACCAACAATGCCATAATCAATCACATGATCAATCACGTCATAATCAATCACGTGATGTGACACGCACCCTGGGGAGGCAGCCTTTAATTGTCAGTTGAAGTTGTTGAGATCCAAATGACTCAGGTGCGCCGTTGAGAAGGTCTTTCTGCTGTTCATAATTATCCGAAATCCTCTTCGACTCTTGGTATCGTTTAAACCTGGCTACCAGGTTACTACGGTTACTTCGTCCTCTTCTTACTAGTATTTTTTTACGTTGATTTAAAAAAAAGAATTTTTTACAAATAATTATTCTTATAGAGTTAATATTTTAAATAAAGCAAAAAATTGTAAATGAAAAAATGCAACATAGTTAAACTAATGAACAAACATGTTTTTTTTCCATTTTAATCAGATTGATACAAATTGTTTGACTGATAGAATTAAAACTCTCAAACAACGACCTTCATTTTATTATTTGATAATTTTAACAATTTTTCTAATTTATGAAATGTTTCTTCACAACAAAAATGTTCTAAAGCTCTTCCTTATCAATGTTCTACAATTTTTTAAAATTTAATAAATAACCCATGTCGGTGAGTTTTAATAAGCATTTGAACCAGACAACTTCAGTCAAGGATCCAACGCTTTAACCATTCAGCCATCAAATAACCAACCAAGCAACCAAGCTGCTTCATTCATTTTCCACCGTCCTGCCCATAGCAGCATGTTTTTGGATGTTTCACAAGATCAGTGGTGACAAAAATTCTACTCAAGCTGTTTGTTGTTTGCTCCATTTAGATATTTCACTCTTAAAAATAAACAAACCACAAACACTCACAGTTAAATGTAACTGCATGGGTGATGATGTTAACCATGGCGATGAGGATGATGTTTATAGAGGGTGTCAGCAATACACACGCGCGCACATGCATGCACACACACGCACGCACGCACCAACATGATCAAACTCATATTTAAAATTTAATTAAAATATGAAAGATAATTACAGCATGCCAAATAAAATCAAGATTGCTCACAATGACAGTACGATGTATTGGTAAATGTTTTGATTACGACGGTAGAAAATTGAATTTAGATAACACTTAACACACATTGAATTGGCATGAAGCAAACAACTAACAACAACCCACCTGAATGACTGTTCTGTGCTCGAACTGGCTGGCTGGCATCATATTGCACTGAATGAAAGCCACGATAATGCAACAATTACGTCGTGATTGTTATTGTTGTTTAGGCTATTGTTTATTGTGGTTGCTGACATTGATGTGCTTGCTGTTGTTATTGTTGTTAGATCAATCAATTGTGTCATGAACAAGCACGCATTCAGCAGTGTAGAGTTGGGGTTCTACTTGTGCAATGTTGCTAACTCTAGGTAGAGCAACCTTATCTTTTTTTCATATTTTTGAAGCATATAAAATATATCGTATCGTATCGTATCGTATCTTAACATTTGACCGCATGTCTCATTTTCTCAATCACAGATATAAATAATAAGGTTTTAAACCAACTTATTGATTTCTGATTTTATATTTAGAACAAAAAAACACATCATTCAAAAACTTCCATTTTTTTGTTTCATTTTTAAAGCATAATGCATTGTTACACAGCAGTTGGTAATTCAATTGTGACTAAAAATTTAAAACAATTATTTTTGATAGATCTATAAGATGTCACCAATAAATAACTCATTCACTAACGTAAGTTCGTTACAGAATTGCACGCTTAGAGTACATCACATTTGATAATTTTTAATAAAAATAGGCAGAACAGTCATAAGAATCGGCATAAGATTATTGAGACTGGAGGTTGTGTGGGAACGTGGTTAAATTACTTTATGACCTCCTCCCATTATCGCCTTCCATTGTTCTCCTTCGTTTCAAAAGGAATGCAGTCCATTCAGTCTATCACTTCTTATGTATGTGTATAATAAATATACAAACATTCAAACATTCATTCGTTCGTTCGTTCGTTCGTTTGTTCATTCATTCGTTCGTTCGTTTGTTCATTCATTCATTTATTCATTCGTTTGTTCGTTCGTTCGTTCATTCATATTCCCATTCACAATAATTTTATTTATTGAATCATTCTAAATGCAAGAAAGCGTGAAGCACGAATGACCTAATTGTAGTATTATGGAAAGAATTCGTTCACTAGCTCCAATGTTGAAAATATGACTGACGTATGACGTGAAAGGAAGTGGTTAAATAATGTTTAATAATACAAACAAATAAACATAAAAACACACACACATACATACACACACACCACACACACACACACGCAAAACGTATCATTCTATATACACTCAAGTTATAATTGAGCCGATGTACTTAACTTTGGCGAAGCGGAAAAAATATAATATCTCTCATTTCAAATTGAGTTGCGACCGACATGTTTCATTCATTTAATCTTCCCGCCGAAAAATACTTTTGCTTCGATTTTCTGATTTTTCTGTCAAAGTAATTCCTCCTCGAGGACCCGGATTAACTTGACTTCCACCTGTAAAACTCCATTTCTCTTTTCCCCTCTCTCACTCCCTCCCTCTCCCTCCCTTTCTCTCTCTCTCTCTCTTTCTTTCTCCATTTATCAACTCTTCACAAAAAATTCCTTCAATTTTTCTTCACCCAGTCAGTTATTGCATCATCTTGCATTCAATCATCATTGAGTAAAATACCAATCAAAACGTAGGAACGAAAGTAACAAAACACTTATGATCGTATAAATGAACGAATGAATGAACGAACGAACGAATGAATGAACGAATGAATACATGTTAAATAATTGTAAATGAACAAGTAAATAAATGATTGAATAAGTGAGTGATTGAGTGAATGAAAGAATGACTGACTTAAAGAATGAATGGATAAGAAACCCATAGCAAATAAATGGGCTAATGTATGAAATTTTGAATGTGATTGATTGATTGAATGAACGAATTAACGAAAGAACGAACGAATGAAAAACGAATGAACGGACGATTGTTATCAAATAACTCTGATTTAATGAATGAATATTATATTGTCAATTGTGGTTAATTAATGAATGAGAGAAAGAGCCAACTAACAATTAAATGGATGCATTTTCGATGGATGAATAAACGAGAAAATAAATTAAATAATAAATTTATTCTTTATAATTTAAATAAAAACAAGAACAAGTAAATTTATAAATAATATATTTTATTTATTAATTGACTTGTCCTTGTTTATATTTAAACTATACAAAATTAATTTATTATATAATTTATTATATTCTGACTTTCAGCTTTTGCCTTATACTCAAACCCGTACACATACAGTTTGGGAGTCCACATCACACATATAATAAGACCAATTAATTTATGACGTCACGCTGCCACTGCTTCCGGTAAAATTAATAAGGAAAAAAATTGAAAATGATAATTGAAAATAATAAATTTTAATTATAACAATATTTATAATGATAATAATACATAGTAGATAAAAATGCTTAAAATCTAAAAAAACACTTAATTTACTTTTTAAACTTTGTTCACTTTTAAATTTTTGCAATGTAAACAGTCTCCAGAGTGCATATGTATGCGTTTTTAATTGTATTAAAACTTATTTTATAATGTTCCAATGAGATGACATTTTCATAGTTTGAGATGAAATTTTCAAAGTAAGTTTTTTTGATATTTTTCAAGTATTTTGAATATGCATGTTCTCTATTTAACTTCTAATATATCTGTTTTCTCTCCATGAAACAAGGCTTTGATTTAATTAATTAAATTTAATTAAAATAAAACAACTTTTAACTTTTTAATTTAGCTTGATTAATTAATTAAATAAAATAAAATGAAAGCCCTAATTTAATTTAATTAATCAAACAAAATCAAAAAATTAAAGTTAAACAGAAAGTTGAAAAATAATTTTTTCCACTAACAACACCAACACACGGCATGTGCATGAATTAAGGCATGACGGACTACACACACATTCTGCATATTATATAATATATATATATATATATAGACATTGATCTTTTTTGCATTTAAACCCGGTTTCTGCAACACAGGACGACATGTCTTTAAATTTACTTACCCTATTTTCAAATCAATCAATGTGTCTGTTTTCTTTTTCTGATGCTATCTATTAAATACCATCATTTTTTATAAATCGAAGTTTATTTTAAAAATTCTATCATTCAGGCAATGTGTCTTCTACTCTCTTATTCCCACGGCTGTTGCGTTTTTAGTTCTTTTCTCAAAACTAAAAGACGCGTTTGGCGAGTCAAGTTGGTTGAGACTTCCAGAATGGTTGATTGATTTCTCAATAAACATGTGTGGCTACAGCACAATCATCATTCCAGGTGCGGCCATTGTCTACCTGGTGAAGAAATATGATGTCACTAATCAAATGGGTTTTGTTTTTGTTCATTTGTTCATTCAAATATTTTTTTCATTGTTACTTCGGTATTAAAATTCATTGATTTTTATGTCTAGTATAATTGGAATAAATAAATAAATTTAATATATTTATGCAGATGACAGCATCATCAAGTGTTTGTTAAACAGATTTGTGTATGGATCTTCAACATTCCTGCCCTATGTAGATGTCTCAGATAAAGTAAATAGTTTGCCAGCTGATCATAGTGCTGAAAAAACTGAGTTGAAAAAGTTACCAACTTTGATATTTTGCAGTTCTGGCTTGGTAGTCTCTTACTTGTTGTGGGGGATTGCCCAAGAGAGATTGGTCTCGTACCCCTACCAAAATGAAGATGCAATTGAAGAAGGTGCCGAACGCTTCAAAGATTCTCTATTTTTAGAACTTTCAAACCGGATGCTGTCTTTTCTAGCAGCTCTTTTTGTGTTGTTAGTCACGTACCAGCCTTCCCACAAAGCTCCTCTCTATGAATACTCTTACAACTCTTTCACCTGCCTCATGAGCAGTTGGTGTCAGTATGAAGCTCTCAAGTACGTCAGTTTCCCGCTTCAAGTTCTTGTAAAAGCTTCAAAAATTATTCCAGTGATGTTGATGGGCCGACTGGTTTCAAAGAAGTCTTACAGTAATTTTGAATATTTCACAGCAGTTCTTATGTCACTAGGCTTGTTCATGTTCATGTCCAACGAACAAGACAGTCAAACACATAGCATCACAACTTCCAGCAATTTAGAACACAACAATTCACATTCCGTAGATGAGAATGAAAGCATTGTTAAGCGTCATTCATTTTTAAATCTCTCTGTTGTGTCTGGGTCGATTTTGATGGTTGGCTACATGGGATTTGACTCTTTCACTTCGAACTGGCAGTCAGAAATGTTCAAACGTTACGAGCCGTCACATATTCACATGATGGTCGGTACAAACTTTTTCGAAATTCTCTTTGCTTCCGTCACTTTATTGGGCAGAAAAGGTTTCGAAAATGCTTACAATTTTTCAATGAGACATCCTTCCTTCAAAGTTCATTTGTTTGGTTTGGCTCTTACGTCAGCCCTTGGCCAGTTTTTCATTTTTTACACCATAAAGTTGTTTGGACCAGTTACGTTTGTCATCATCATGACTGTCAGACAAGCATTAAGTGTTGCTATATCCTGTCTTGTTTACGGACACACAGTTCATTATTTAGGAATTTTTGGGGTTTTATTATTTTTTTTCGCTATTGTTTTGAGAATGCTGCGTTAACTCACGACAGTTTCCAATTTGAATTTGTTCACCTATTGCTCTTTAATTTATTGTTTCTAAAAGTTGTTATGTGATGTATTTTATATTTTGCAACTCGTTGCAGGGAAAGGTTTTTAACTTTTGTTTGCAGTATCTGATGAACATATTCTTATATTTTTATTGGTGTAATTTATTTAATTTTTTTAACTTATACTCTATGATTTTATTACATTTGCATTTGCAACGTGATATCGATTATCGGCAACTTTTGTTCGCCAAATGTTATAATTTTGGAAAGAAATTTTACAAAAATTCACTTTTGCCTGGCTTGATAATACTTTCAAACAAATTTATCTTAGTAGTAAAGGGTATGGTTTTAAACAAATAAATATGATTTCCTTCACTTTCAGTTAATTTCGATTTCCATTCCCTTTCCATACGCACAAACACACACACATATATATTATATATATATATATATATAATATTTTCTTTGATAATGATTTGTTATGATCAGTGTTGAATACGGATTTTGTTTTATGTGATAAAACAAATCCGTTTTCAACACTGATGATGTCAAATGATTAAAAAATGACTAGCGTCATTTTAAAAATTTTCAACAAAAATGACCGATGAAAAATTCTATGTTTATTTACTATAGAGTTAAAAACAATTGTTGACTTTCATAATGTTTTTATATTTAAATCTTGATCCAGTAATGCTATTGTGAGGAGAGGCTATTATAAAATTGTGAGCGGTCACGTTCATTAACTATCATTAGGTTTCTATTTATATTTTTAACAGCGACCATCAAGCTTTGACAGCCGTTCACTAACATAATGATGATGATGATGATGATTGGTGATCATCATCATACGTTCAATCGTGATGAGTTTACGTCGAAACGTACGTGGGTCCTATGAGAGGTCCTGTCATATTTTTTCCTTATTCGTTACGTCACAGTTTGTCGCGTCACATGGCTGTGCTTTCCGACCAGAAAAGTATACCCATGATAAATATTTTTATACGACTATCAACAAAATTTGAAATTTTTGAAAATTTCTAACAGCTGAATGAACGAAAGAAATTTCTAGTTATATGTTGAATTAAGAATCTCCCATACACTTAGGCCTTGTGTCACAAATTGTAACGATCGACTGATTGTTTCTGTTATTGGTCATATCATTAACGCAAATTTGTAAGATATCTACCTACCCGCCTAACCCAACGCATTGTATGAACACACCTAACCACATCTTACTGTGTGTGTGTTGTGTGTGTGTGTGTGTGATATACATATAACGAGGTCAACTTATTATTGTAGTATTGGTGTTTGTATGCGTGCGAATGTGCATCATCAACGTTTATTCTTCAATCTACTACGCGATAGAACAAATTTACAATATGTTTTCTTTCGGTTATTCCAAATAGAAAATGGAATACCTATTTGATTTGTCATCTGCACGCTTATTGTCATAGAAACATACTAGAATACACCAATTCATAAATTGGATATAATTGTTCTTATAAGTGTCGGGCAGACAGTATTTAATTTGGTTATTATGGTAATTATTTACTAATATCAAAATATTAACGAGTTTTATAATTTGCATGTTATTGATCATCATATGATTATATGAAACCATTAAACACTATATCATCGTTGGATTTCTAATTTGCATATGAACTCGACCTGACCGACGTCTTCTCACTCAATTATTGTAAATTTAACACCACTTTTGACTTTTCTGTACATGTAATTGGATACCTTAGCCGCGTGCAATGTTCGCCTGATGTGTTACACATTTGAGACAACTTTTCAATTTAAACTTTTGGTTAATAATTTTTGTATTTTAAAAATTTAATATTTAATGACATACCACAAAAACATAGCTACATTGAATTTAACAGCTGTTTCAACGACAACTTTAATTGAATTTAAAACAAATAACAAAATTTCTTTCAATAACAAAAAGAATGTGTTGTTTGAAACGTTTTATCTTTGTAACGAAGTGAATAATTAATTAATTAATTAAGTTATTTCAGTGCAGTTGTACAATTGAAAAGATAAATAATTGATTTGTTTGATACATTGTTGTGCGTTAATTTTGCTCAACTAACTAATCTCGTTTGATGTTACGACAAATATTTCGTTTTTATGTTTCCTGTTATTTTGTAACGTTTTCTTGTTTTTTTTTATTGATAAAATGATCAACTATATGTTTGAAACGATGTGAGGAGGTGAAATTATCGGTTATAACATTTTATAACATCACATCAGCAACATGCCTGATATGCATCTTCACACCATACTATAAAAAATCAGTTGCCTTGTAATAAATTAATCTATCTCCATTATTGCTAGAATACTGAGAATACTGTAGTCAAGGCTTGAGGTGTCGTGAAATTTTAACAACACTTTGGTTTATTGCATGCAAATTGTAAAATTCCAATCCATCTGATAAGGGAATATTGATAATAATAACATGAAATCTACATTTTCATGTGTCAGTTGTTTAAAGGTTAATGACCGTTTAATGTATGCATGCGAAGACCCTTTAAACTTTAATCCCGCCTATTAATAAACTGAGTGATCCGATTGGTCTGTAAGTTAAATTAATTAAATAACGCTCTGCTATTGGTTAATTAAAAGTAGTAGACAAATTAAATTTCTCTTTATAAAACTTTTGAATACCTATCCTACTCATAAGAATACCTATTCAGAAAAAATATTTTTGTGAAATTTACAGACACACCTGCACTATATATACACATCTACACATAATATACATGTGTATAAGATATTTATTTTTATTTGTAAAAAAAATAACATTAATCGTCATTGTGGATTAGAGAATAACAAGAGCAAAATGTGGAAATACGGTTTGTGAGAAGAAATATATGCTTTTTTAAATCTTTAAATATTAAATCTATAAATTTATTTAATTAACTGAATTGTATTAATATTTTTCGATGGAAACAGGAGATTTCCTACCATCGTTACTCTCTTCATTGTCTCCGACAGCTCCTCAAGCGACGTCACATGATCTTTCAGATTCCAGCCTCAACCATTACAAATACTGGTTCCCTGGAGTATCAACATCCTCGTCATCGTTAGTGACACCTCCATCGCAGTCATCCCCATCATCGACTACATCATTCTTTCAGTCGTCACCAGCAATTCCACCGCACAAAAATTGCGAGAAAATCTGGAGACCCTACGAAGAGCCAACGGAGGAAGATTGGCTGAAGGACGCAACGTGGACGATTAATGATCAGGCGAGGAAGAACACCCCCCTGTCTTATGCCACATTACCTCAGGGACTTATCTTCTACCCATCCTCACCCAACTACAACACGGTCAGTTCTGATTTTTTGTATTACTTGTGCACAATGTATTTTGCAATAACGAACACATCACATAATTAAACCTGACATTTGTTACAAACATGAAAGATTAAATCAAAAATAACTTGAAATGGAAAATAACAATGCGTGCTAGCGAAACAAGCGAGTTGTGGTTGACCTGACTTGATAGTTAAACAGTTCAGTGACACGAGAGCTACGTAATTGTTACCTTGCTTTTCAATTACCTGGCAACAATAACGGATGATGTGTTGCGTAACTTGCTGTTGTGGCTCGTGACGTGCAATATTATTAATACAATTCTGAAACAATATTTATAACTAAGTATAATATAATTATAATTATAACTATGTATAATATAATTCTATTTTTATATTTTATTTTACTCTTTAAACAGTTTAAAAATACTTTTCTATTAAATATTATAAAAAAGAATTTACGAAAAATTCAGATAATCTGTCTGCATTTAATTTTTTCACTGTCGTCAAAATTTAATCTTTAATGTTTTGAAAATTATTTTAAAAGGAAAATAAAAATACGAGAGCTAAATTTCAAATTTTTTTCAAAAATTTATTGGTGCTCAGCCATATTTCATTTTGTCGAAAACAAGCTTCTCAACGAAATTTGAATTAGTATGTACATTGAATCTGTCTTTGGCAAAACGGCCAGACACTGTTACACAAACTCAACAATTGACTTTAAAATCAAAACAACAGCTCGTTAAAAATTAGCTTGCTACCTGTGCATGTGAACAATATTGCCAAAAGATGTCAGGCTGAGCAATTTAGCGTTAATTAAATAAATGTTGTAACATAAATGGCCTCTCAACGTCACTGTGACTGCGAGCATGTGAGGCATCCAGGTTGGCATCTGCAAGGTCACTGAATGAATCTCAAGTGCTTGGAAATAACTTTTATATTATTTCATTTTATAAAGTTTGAAAGCCGAACTATTAAAAAAAGTTTTTTACTATTGAAATTTTTTTAAATTCAATGTTTTCCTATTGATTTAATCCATCTAATTTGTAATATTTAATCGTCGAATATTTAATTGTATCTGCGTTTTTTGCTTGGTGGCTCATAACTTAAAATAACTTCTTGCAGATGGGCGTCTGGACGACGAAGCCGATAATGAAGGGCTCAAGGTTTGGACCTCTGAAGGGAAGGATTATTTCAGAGGGAGAGATGTTGAGTTTGAAAAGGGGAGTGTGCTATCGAAGTGATCTGTGGCCGGTGAGTAGTTGTGGCTGGTTGGATGTGTGGTTGTGGCTGGTTGAATGATTAGCTACGGTTGGTTAAGACTGGTAGGTGAAATATTTGAATGTTAAGTTTTTTGCATATAATTATCATCAATATTTCCATCACCACACAGATCTTCTCCTCTCCCCAGTCCATCACGATCTCACACTACCTGGACACATCGAACTTGATAGCCAGCAATTGGATGCGATTTGTTTCCTTCTCGAGTCTGAGCAGTAGCCAAAACTTGCTGGCCTGTCAGTTCCAGGACTTCGTCTACTTCTTTGCCACTGAGGACATTCCGCAAGGAGCTGAACTGCGCGTTTGGTTCCATCCTCAATATATGCACAGGATTCTTCACTCCAGCTACATTCACTGTTAGTTTCTTTTCACAAGCATTTGTTTTTAGCCTTTTTCAGTTATCATTTTATATAAGTGATTGTATTTGAATGTTAAAATGTCGTGAATTAATGCACTCACATGAATAATTCTGTGAAGATTTGTAATGTAGGGTGCATTTTTGTGTTTTAGAATGCGTTTGAGTCTGTGCATGTGCCAGTAAATGTAATGCTTTTAATTCTTTTAATTTTTTATAGATGTTTAATGCTTATTTTTTGAGCGTTAGATTATTTTTTCTTCAGTAAATTAGTTCGTTTGAAGTTTTTATTCCTTGCCAGAACTCTGTATTGCGGAGATAATCTTGAAGTATCAAAAACAAATCGTGCCAACTTTTAGCGTCCAAAACAAACAATTGACACGCACATCTAAAGGGTGTCTTTTATAACTCTTGGTCAATTTCCGCCATTTATAATTAAGAGTAGAAGATAGATTAGATAATTGAATGTATTTTCGGTGTGATGAGACGTATCAACTGCTTTGGATGAAATGTTGCGCGACAATATTCGTTGCGCAACCTCAAAAGACATCAAAGAGATTCCCTGACAGTTTATTACAATGAACTCGTTAGCGGCTTGATGGGATGGTCTAACTTTCAGCAGAACATTAACAACTCTAGTTTTTACAACTTCACCTAAATAATATTGAAACAAATAAATGCGTTAAAAATTGGGGAAACGTCGATTCTTTATTATTAATTTCAAACATTTTAACATTTGATATTAAACGTCTAAACTAAGATTTCAATTGGACTCGATCAACCATTAAAAATTTCAGACCTTTTAAAAGACGAAAAAACGTCATCTCATAATTTTCCATTGAAACAAAATATAAAAGAAGAAAAAGAAGATCCGCCAACAACGACGCCACCGAGTGAACTCCCGCCAATCAGCACCGACTCCAAAAAGTGCACCGAACCGCAACTGAAAGGAAAAGGACACTCGTCCTTGGGCTACGAGTTACGTAGAGTCGACGGAAAGTTAATCTACGAGTGCAACTTCTGCAAGAAGATATGCGGTCAGCTGAGCAACTTGAAGACCCACCTCTTCATTCACACCGGAGAACGACCCTTTGCATGTCCACACTGCAACAAGACCTTCACACAGAAGGCACATTTGGACAAGCACAAACTGACGCACCTCAGATCCAAGCATTATAAATGATCACAACGTGACATCTCTCGAACAGTTTTTTTTATTTATTTTTGAAATTTGTTTTGTTTGCTGCTAAATTTTTGTAAAGTTATTTTTTTGAAATAATTTTTTTAAATTGTAAAAAGTTTATAAAAATGTCTCTTTTTGAAAGTGTTGCGTTATGTGTTAAAAAAGTTCATTTAAGAGAACTTTTCTTCTCCACGCAAGTAATGCATATTTTACCTGATTATTGAAATTCACCTCACTTATTTATTGAATTATATATGCAATACGATAAAATAGCTAGGCTGGCTTATTTTAATTAATTCTCTTCGAAGCAACAAGTCTCATTGAAAATAAATCACTATCAGCCAGTGAGAGGAGCTTCTGTTGTCACAGGCTCACCTCGTTCAACATTCACACAACAAAAATTGCGCTGTTTTAAACTTCACGGATTGATTTGTGTTGCAAGGAAGTTGTTCTCTGAGTTAATTAATCAATTTTAGCGCAAATTTTTTAAAATAGAATTAATGTCAATATTTTTTGATAAAATTTTGTTGTTTCAAATAGAAACTAAGTTTTTAAATAACAAAATCTAATGTAGTAGACTAATAAATAATAAAAAAAACACTTATTTATAGATTCAATAAAAATAATTTTATCCGTGAGTTTCCGTAACGAGGTTTCAGCAGTCTGCATAAATTTCCAGAACAGTTTGCATCAATTTCCTGTAAGGACAGCGTACATTCAATCCTTCCAGTACGACATACAAGGATAAAGATTGCACATATGAACGCACACACATATACATTGATAATTACCGACAATGAGTTGCATATATTCATTCGTTAAAAGAATGCATCAACTTATATATGTATCAACTCATTAAAATAGAAAAAGAATATGGTATTGTGGACGCTTGGTTCTGGATACATTCCAGCCCTGCCGACAACACTCTTCCATAGTTCAGAGGATTCAACAAAGTGCACAAACATCGTGTATGAATACATGCTAAACGACGCATCACACACGAAGCATGTGATAGGCGGGGAATTTTTTGTCATATTCGAACCCGGTTACTACGAAACAGCACCAGGCGACTATAACTATTAGACCATCACGCATCATGATTACTTAATGGCGTTGCATTAACTATTACTGCAAAGTCTGAAACAATTGTGAAATTAGATTGAATACAAATATTTAAAAAAAAAAACAAAACGTACCGTATACATTAGATAGAAACAAAAGGTAAAATGTTTTTGAAATAAAAAATTGACGAGCAAACAAACAAGCTTTGTTCCTACTGCACATGTATTGTTCAATAAGGCAACGGTGCAGTGCATGAAAACATTTGCCTCACTACGGTGTGAATGTATATAATGTATATATATATATATATATATATATATATATATATATATATATATAACGCACTACACACATACACGCACGCACAAACGCATACACACGCACATTTCAGATCTGATGTTAAGAGACAATTAACGTGCAAGTGCGAGCTATATAAAACTACATAGCCATCAGTTTTTCTACACCAAAAAACACCGAAATTTGTCTCGAATAACTGACTAACAGTGCACCAACATTTTGTATAACCAGTATTAGTGAAGCTTTCAACTACTGTCAATTTTTATATGAAGTTTTTTTAATGACTCGTTAAGTGACCGGCCGCAAACGTTTTATGTATGTAACACATTGAACATATTTCAAAGGCATATTATCATTTTTTGATGATATTCTTGGTGGAAAGCTTCCTATTAAAAAAACGTCAAAAGACCAAAGATACTTAGATCTGAAGTTCGTGCCGCTCTTTCTAAAATGAAATCAAATAAAGCGCCAGGTCCAGTTGAGATCCAGGTCCAAGTCAACATTTATTGCTTTGCCTAAAAAACCTTATACAACGGAATGTGAACTACATCGAAAAATCAGATTGTTGAGCCAGTTTACAAAACTTCTCTTGAGAATTCTGATGATGAAAGCACGAAACAAAATCAGACTTGAAATTTCAAATGTCTAATGTGGTTTTGTAGATGATTGTGGCACAAGAAATACTATTTTTATAGTATGAATAATCAGCGAACGAGCAATTGAAATAAAAAAAAAACTTGTGTTAATTTTGTATCGATTACTCCAAAACTTTTGATAGCGTGAAACACGTGGAGCTAATGGAAATATTGGAAAAAGACACGTGAGTTATCAAAAACCTCTATTGGGACCACCAAAGAGCAGCGATGAAAGTTGGTGACATGATGACTAGTTTTGTCGAAATAAAGAAAGTTGTTAGGCAAGGCTGTGTATTTTCTTCAGACCTGTACAATCTCTATAGGGAGATCATCATGAGTAAGGTAGAAGATCTACCGGGGATATCTATTGGAGGCGTGAATATAAACAATGTAAGATATGCTGATGATACAGATTCAAAGATTCAATTGAAAAACTGAAAAAACAATTGTTTCTAAATTGGTTTTTGAAAGCGAAAGGAAAGGCTTGCAAATTAACATCAACAAAATAGAGTGCATGGTTATCAATAAAAGCAAAACCACCCCGAGCTGCTCCATAATCATTAACGGTAGACAGGTGAAACAAGTCAACAGACTCAATTATATCGAAAGTCTGTTTACCTAAGGTTGTAAATGTGATGTGGATATCAAACGAAAGATAGCTTTGGCAAAAGATGCATATTCTAAAATGAAAAACATCCTCACTGACAGTAAAATCAAAATATCAACAAATTAAAAACTGTTAGAGTGTAACATTTTCTTGGTCTCACTTACGGTTCTGAGTCCTAGACAATTTCTAAAAAATGGAAAAAAAGATTAACGCTGCTGAGAATTATGAAAATTAGTTGGACCTCTCATACTTTGAATAAGGATGTGTTAAAACAGTCCGGTTATGAAAAGGGGAAATTACTACAGATAATCAGACAGGGGCAGTAAGTATTTTGGTGAAATCATGCGGAAGGAAAGAATGGAAAATCTAACAACTACTGGAAAGATTGCAGGGAAAACAGATCGTAATCAACAAAGAATCACATTTGTGAAGTCCTTGTGTCACTTGTTGAATAACACCACATTTCAACTACTACAAAGTGTTAAAGATCGAGTTTCGTTGAGGTCGATGGTCGCCAATGTCCTGAAAGGATAAGGCACGAGAAAGAAAGAAAGAATTATCATTTATATTTTGATCACACATTATGAAAGCGTGCAGAACAAAATCTTGAAGCATACAATTTTATTATTACTTAAACAATAAAAGTTTTCAAATTTTTTGAATTTTCAATAATGACAACAAAATAAAAATGAAATCAAATTTTTTAAAACCCATTTTTGGACCTTAAAAGACCATGAAAGAAAAAATATTGAAAACTCTGTGTAAAATATTTAACATTATAACTTAGTATTTTTTAAATTTCTAAAATAAACATGAAATAGCATAGGAAGGTTTTCAACTTTAGAATTTTGAAAATCATTTCCCCGCGAAGAATTCTAAATCCGCTGTTGAACATTTTGTTTAATAATATCTTGCATTAATTGTCATTTTATTGAAGAATCATATCTGAAAAATTTAATAACCGTTCACCAAATATTTACTTTAATTTTCGGTGAATCGTTTGGAGTAAATTTTCGACATTCCTGACATTCAGTGACATTCGATATTCGACACAGTTATTGGATTCATTCGGAATCGAAATCTGGCCTTATTTGCAGCATGAATTCGGAAAATAAGTTTATTTTGAATTTCACCAAAAAACTTTAGTGAGAAAAATTGAAAAAACGAACTACAAACATATTAACGCCAAACATTCGGTAGAATTTATAGAATATTGTAAATATTATGGTCTATTACCAACATATATATATATATATATATATATATATATGTGTGTGTGTGTGTGTGTGTGTGTGTGTGTGTGTGTGTGTGTGTGGGTTTCTAAA